CTTTGGTTTTTACCTGGAAGGCGTATTCTTTAGGCCTGAAATGTTTTCTAAATTATTAATTAGACATTAAGTAACAGATCCAGACCATAATCAACTATCGATGGCGTCGGATTTCTCCGATATTAAATAGATTAGAACGGTTCGGCCATATTTTGATTTAATTTAAAAATGGAGGAACGAGACTTAGCTTTGAACAACCAGTACGGTGGTGAAATTATTGCACACTTCTTGTCAAACCTTCAAGGGCTAATATCTTTGAATGAAATTTTCAAATAATTATTACATTATCTATTTTCGAACTATTATAGCAAGGATGGCTAGCTCTTTATCCAAATCTTACATAATGTATCTTTAATTGTTTTAGCAAATATGGCCGTATTCTGACATCTTGTGACTTAAAGGACCTAAGTCCGTAACTCAAAATCCTCCAAAATCTTCGACATCGAAAACACGAATTATTGGTCAATTCAAATCAACATTGATGATGTAAACTTACCGGGAAAAGATGAGCTCTGATATCCGATATTTAAGATAAAATAATTTTTTTAGCATTGGTACACGAATCGTGTACCATAATGCGCTTCAGCCCCAGTTGTATTGAGAGACTCGCTTGACGAGGCTAGACACATTGCACCAAATCAAATGGAGTTATGTAGACTAGAATAACTAGACGCTAGAAATTTGCACTCGATTGAGATTGCTGACTTATTTCGCCGAACATAACTGATTTGAAATTGGAGTAAAAACGGAAACCATTAAATGTAAATCAGTTTATATACATTCATATTACAGTATTATATGCGTTGCGACCCACTTTTGTGAATTTCTAGGTCCCAAATGTTAGCGATTTAGCTCCTTTAAAAGCCATATTCGTGTTATAATGTAATCATATATCTTAATTATCTACGCTTTGAAGGATAAATCACTCTTTTCCATGACTTCCCAGAATATCTTTTATTTCAAAAGGGTCGAACCATACGTCTCTGTATAAGGTCTGTCAAAACTATAAAAGAATATAGTTAATCTCTTCATATAATAAATAATACAAGATAGAATAAGGCGATCTATTCAAAATCAGGAATAATACCGAGGTGACGTATTAGAATGCCTGTTTAATGATTAAATCCAAGTTAATAAACAGTGTTTGTTCAATACTGACGTAAATTATTATTTTAGTCTATTACAATATCTATTATTATTTTGTTCTATTATACATTATCTCTATTAGTATGTAGAACTATAGCAGTATCTATGTTATTCCAAGGTTGTTCCAGTTTGGTTGCAGTTCCTCGGGATTTTCCAGCTCGGTTTCTCCGTGTCTGTGGTGCAGGGTGGGGTTCCTGACAAGGACAATGTGTACTCGTTCGAATGGGACTGAAAGACAATATTTCCCGTGTACGTTGTGCCGTGCTCGTAAAATAATCCTTGACGGTTTTCTATTCAACCCTATTTCGTTTTGTTTATAGTAGTACAAAATATAGATTTGTATATTTAATCAGATTATTATCCAGCATACAGCTAATTAACCTATTTCAAATTGATGATCCAAATTAAAAATCGCAAAGTCGAATACAGATTATAATACATATTGTTCGATGTTTTATCTACTATTTCCCAGTTCTATGCAACAATTCCTTTTACCCGACTACTTCTCTTGATTAGTTTATTATGTGAAACCACAAATGTAGCTTTCAAAGAACATCGGATTAACTCACATTCATGATAAAGACTAATACTACTCAAAAGAAGCAGCGATTATGTTACATTGTGTGAGAAAACTGTATTCCGGTAGATGTATTAATGATGGAAACGATAGCACCAACTGGGGAGACAATGTATCACGTGCTACTAGTTGATGCCCTGTACTTGCTTATTATCGTGCCTGTCTGTGCATTTAAGACCAGTTCCGTGACGTAAATAATCAAGGGAATGCCGCCCACATAACTGTTTTAGTTCCTGGCTTTAAAGTGGAAGTCGGATTTAGATAGTGTATTATGATAATACGTTAGTTACTCTTTGAAATACCCCCTACACATCTTTACGACAAGACGCATGCATTAAGGATACATTATGTAAGATTTAGATAAAGAGCTGGCAGTTCTCGCTATAATAGTAAAAACTAGATATTAAAAAGAGCGTATCTGGAACATTTCAGTCACATTGCTTCATTCTGAACAAAGTTAGGGCGGTTTGTCATTGCTACTGTTGTTACGATAATAAATAGTCTCGATTATCAATTAAATTATTTAACGCCAATCGTGTTTAAATCTGTTGGAAGTCTAGAGCATCCGATGGCATCATGAGTTGGTTAGGGTCTTGGCAAGTTAATAAATGTTAAATTAATAATTTAAGGCCTAAAGAAAGACCTGCAGTGGTCAGATTTAGCGCTTGCATAATGCATCTTTAATAGACCGCCAAATCATTAATCCAAATTCCATTTGAACTCATTAAATGGGGATTGGTATAGAGCTAAACTTAAGCTCAGTGCATTCAGTGAGTAAATTAGTATATTATGAGATATTTATGTACGATTCTCTATTATTAAATAATCACTAATCTTGAGATCGTCTCTGAAGGCCATGGAAGAATATTAGTGAGGATTGGCTCCATGGTTATAGCTACTTTAGTAACCTTTTAAAGGTATTTATCAATCAATGAACATAAATGTAATTCGTTTGATATAATACAGTCGCCCGACTAGACAAATAGCCTAATTAAATTAAGGTTAAAGAACGCACATGCATCTCTAAGGGGCAGTGAGAGAGAGGGAGAGAGAGAGAGAGAGAGAGAGGGGGGGGGGGTGAGTGGGGGGGGGATTCACTTGCAACAAACAGGACTAACATAATATGGTTCAATAATATCTCAATAATTCGCTTGCGCATAGGGGTCTTCAGAAGTAAGATGAAAGCGGGTGATCGAACAGTACAGTGCCAACGAGATTGGACATGGTGGCTCTATTCCTTGGCATGTATAAGTGTTGGATCGAAACCACGCCACTTGACCCAATGACAGATCTTGTGATCTAAAGCATACACTTTAGCCCCCCCCACCCACCCTTCTCCCATCCCCGTGCGCAACTTTAATAAGAAGGTTTTGATTTGCAGCGATTCCCCTAATGTACATAGTTACTCCCGTGCACGTTTAAATCTGCCGAGAGCCATCTATTACTGACAATCAATCATTTTACGGATACCAATTTCACCGCCGTACCTATTTTCGGTTGTTTAAGGCTAAGGAAAGCTCGGGTTAAAATATTTTCAGTAATTAAGAGAGCCTAAAATGATATTGATAATCCAAAAATATTCTTCTATTAACCGGTAAAGACCCTCGCTTCCTTATGTTAGTCACCATTGTTCATTAATACAAACAATTCGGACAAACGGTTCAAGAATGGAGGAAGATTCAGTGCGGTTATTTTACATTCTGATTTCAACAAAAATACGCTCAGTTATTTCTGATATTTTTCAATGTTAGACAAATGTCAAATTAAGTTTCCTAATTCGGAGTTGTAAAAATCAACAATCTGATTTAGAAATATCGCTTTGGCTGTATAAGTATTACGCCTTCGCGTCTTTAATTCAATATTGTTTTCCCGAGTTGGACTCTATTTCAAGAATTGTTCTGACTTCATATCGATCTAATTATAGCTACAGGAACTAATGTTTGATAGCTGGAAGATCAACCTAATGTAAATGGCATATTTATAAGCATGAATCGACACTTTAAAAGTAATTCTCAAGTCGAAGGTGCGATTCTAAATAAGATATGTTAAATGTTAAACGACTGTGTCAATTTGTATAATAGGAGTTGTAATTCATTTTGACTTGCTGCAGACGTCAAATTGTTAGTGTTTTATTGGTTACTTAATATAGCTGATACCTTTAATTGGACCTAATGGGGGTTTAATTGCCCAATTGTAAATAGCTGAAAGGGGAACTCGCTTGGACCCATCAAATGCAACAAAGCCAGAAAAAAGCAACTGTTTATACTAAACTGCGTTTGGCTCGTTTTCATCCCACGCCGAACAGTTAATCTGAACTCAGAACGATGCTACCTCAATGCTTTGGATGTCCCAACGTCAGTAAGCATACTATCTCACGTTCAACAGTTAATCTGAAGTCAGAACGATGCTAACGCGATGCTTTGGTTAACCGTATACGTCAGTAAGCATATGGGGCAAGTGGACACTGCCCCTTGCACACTTTAAAGGCAAACTGAACTGTAACTGAAAACCCCCCAATCTATATAAATAAGATCAAATTAAATTATGTATGTGTATATGTTCGCTCATGCGCATTGTCCCCGCTTCACCCCTGCATAACATGTAGTATCAAATTAACCAGCATGACTCCGTGAATATTTTAGGTCATCGAATTTGGGCCCCAGGTGAATCGAGCCTGGGTCCCGGGCGATTCACGCTTCGTCGCCGCGATCCACCCCTACATATTATGGTATAAAATTAACCAACATGATCCCGTGACTGTTTTAGGCCATCGAATTTGGACCCCTAGCGAATGACGCTTCGTCGCCGAGCTCCACCTCAATATATGTGGTATCAAATTAACCCGCATGACCCCGTCAATGTTTTAGGCCACCGAATTTTGATCCCGGGCGAATTTGGACCCCGGACGAATTGGGCCACTCAGCGAATTTGGGCCCCGGCTAATGGGGCCCCAGTTGATTTTGAACCACGGGCGAAGCCGCGGATCTAGATAGTACCAAATAACGAAATTTTATACGCCTAAATTTCAGTGTGGTCGCAATTTGTCGTCACTGTATCCGTCGGTCTGTCGGTCTGTCTGTCAATAATTGGCTAGTGAACGCGATAGAGGCTACACTACAGTTTTGAACGGGGTGTTTCAGCTTCTATCAAATAAACGAAGTAAATAATCATATTTTACATTGTTTAGTTTAATAACAAAGCATTATTGCGCCTATTACAATAATAATCAAATCATGGTTATGTCAGTTCATCTTATATTTTATTGGTTTTATTTCAGAGAAGTCAACAATACAGCACTGATAGTTTACAATATACGCCCATGCAAATAGGTAAGATGGTGCCTATACATAAAACAGTATATTCTTTGAATCAAAACCCATGCATCGATATCAGTCTTATTATACATAGAGAGTTTGGTGAAACTCACCTTGCCGATTATAGGGGTTGAGATCTAACTAAAAGTCCTGGTTTTATATTGGGGGAGCCGCGGTGGCTCAGTGGGCATGGCGCTTGCTAGCTAACTTGGAGGCAAAGGTTCAATCCCGGTGTTGGCCGAGAAAGTTACTCGTGATTTTCCGTCGTGGTTTTCCCTTGTCAGTGGCGCTGATACGTACAAACCGAGTTACCGTGTACATCTTGGCGTGTACTTCAATCAATCGTTCGCCTTTAGAATTCAATTGCTATCCGGGTACAATTTCTCTCACAGCACATTGGAGAACAAAAGCAGTACCTTAAACCCCATTTCATTCATTTATTCATTTATTTAATTTTGGTTGGTGGATACCACAAGATGAGTATACTGTATATATTCCTCTTGTTACAGACTGTATAGACATGAGAAGTGTCCCGGGTGATTATTATTATGAATCAGAAGAGAAATATGAGGTCTGTGGTTTCTATATTATTGCGGAGGCAGATCGTCTTGTAGAAATAGAAATAACAGAAATTAATGTAAATTGTGACGAAGACAATGCTTTAGCGGTATGTATATAAAACAGGTTATTACTATTTACTTATATTGTTTTAAAACCTGTCTGTACTTTGTTATTAAGCATTTCAATTGTACTTTGCGTGCTTTTCAATTCATAAGTTGTATGGAAAATGGTGATTAACATTATCTTTGTCATGAACTGCATCCGTGCCGAATTTAGATACTCATAAGAGCCTCACAATCCGTAGGCACCCTTACCAACGGTTTTATTATGTGGGTATTGTAATTCTTAAAAATGGTAAAATTTACAATTGGCTTCACCAAGTTTGCCTAAAGGCTCCCCGTATAGTTAGAATTCGTTGAAAGGCAGGCGGAACCTTTGTCGTTTGGGCAACACTTTCTCCCATTCCATACGTGTGGTAATAACATAAATAACCATAATATATGTTAGTATCAAAATAGATAAAATCTGATGAGGCGTTTATTAAGCTACAGGTGTCGTTACCACCAACGGCATTTATTTTCCAGTGACTTATAATTTCCAATTGCCTCATTAGAAGTATGCTTGGGGTAATTCACACCACTGGTAAATCTAAATAGTAAAACTGAGATGATCTGTTGGATTGGGTTCTTTCGATTATTAATAGGACAATCTGTATATTTCCGATTCGAAAGATAAAGGGGAATTCCATTCAACAATGTGTGTAGTAATTTTAGTTTCGGTTTTTTTTTCGGTTTTTTTTTTGCTTAAACTTCCCGAACACAAAATAAATTATATATCAATTTTGGATTCTGTGGATCTAACTTTTTAAACACATAACCATTTCTCAATCTGATGAACACATAAATTTCATTTAAATTGAAATTTTCATTTTTTATCGAAATAAATGAGATCGTTTAAGATCAGGGAATTCATTATTATTTCGTTCTTGTTTCAGTTAGTGGATGGTTGGGAGTTACAAGGTGAATATTTTCCAAGTCCATTTGATCACAAACGTCCATTAGAAGAAAGATATCAGACATTGTGTGGAAATAGTAAACCACACAAGAAATATATCTCGTCACAGAATGTAGCCTTAATTCAATTCCTCATACCTTCCCCGGGTCAAAGTTTTAAAGTGAAAGTCAGATTTATCCCTAACTCAAGACGTAAGTATTTTAAAAACAATTTCGATAGTATTATTATATGGACAATGAACCGAGCATGACGCAAACCCACCATCGTGGAATCGGGAAATCACAATATCAAGCAAGAAACAAGCACGCCAATAAAGATACATGGGTTAATTTTTATTTTATTTTTTTTTTTGGGGGGGGGGGGAGGAGAGAAAGTAAACATGATATGGGAATGGTGAAATATTCTATGAAAGCTTTGAAAAAAATGTTTTCCATGCTGATATGTTGTCTTTATGAGTTGATCGATGACTTACGATTTAGTAAACTAAGATGGATAAGAAAAGCTACTGCAGGCATATTGTTATCTATTTGGTGATTAATAGCATGCAGGTTAAATTTATTTGTGGTATTTGTTATACTTGTATAGAGAAATGTATACAATTGCAAGACTTGATTTAATGATAATAAGCTAGTTTTCATTTGCATTTGGACTAAAATCATCTTAAGATGAAATTTCAAAATGTACGTCCGCCGGCTTATGTTGGTTTGTATTAGTCGAAGAGCCACTACTACATAGGGATTAACACCCACTTACACCTGATTATATCGTAGACAGGCGTTGAGCTGGCTACCGACATTGTTAGTTTCGTATGATAGTCTGATCAAACAATAAACAGCTAAAACAAAACAAAAAATCTCTAATACGAGCAAAGGGATTTGCATAAAAGTGTCCATATTACTAAAAGAATCTAAAGCGCATTATTATCACACCAGCATATACAAAGGAGTGTATTTACGATATTTCAACATAGCAATGCCATTACATTGTCATGACGTGTAGGATATGGTAATCCAAATACGGCGATTGATATCCATTTATAGTATAATGTTCATACATTTTTTACGCAATTGTCAATATCATATTATACACCAACACGTATGTCTAATTTTCTGTATCGACCCAGTGATTAGAATGTATAAATGAACAATATTTGTGTCTAGTTCTATTTTTGAAGGAGATAATTTAGTTAACAATAAAACTCTTAGCGCCTTTTGACTATTGTGTAAATGTCTATAAGGATTTCTTAGGGTGAAAATAAAAATCTATGCTCCTAGATTTTCAATCTTTGGTCATCGGTACATTTTAACGATTATGGATGTGTTAATAATCCCCCAGGATACCCGATATAGAACTCCAAACAATATCTTCTTTATTTCAAGAAAGTGTGAATTCCCTTAACAGTCCAGTCTACCTTATTGCATGTTAAACGCACGTTGCCCTGATAAAGTTTAGTCTTACATGACATAAAGTTTAAAGCAGCAAGATACATCATATCGATATCCGTAAAGTCGTAAGCCGGACATTATAAAGAAACGCCTTTTTACAATCAACTTATTTATGATTCAGAATACCTCTTTCACCTAAAACGTCACCATGTTCTAAATTAATGTGTCATCCATTGGCTTTCATGGGTCTGATAATAGGTGTCATCTTGCCTAATAATATAATAGCTGTTCAGTAGTCAAGACGCTGGCTCGCTAACCCGGAGGTTCCGCGTTGGATCCTTGCGTTGGCCGAGAATGTTCATCGGGATTTTCAGGCGTGATTCCCCTTGTCAGTAGTGCAGGACAGATGGTCTGGCTGGCAAGGGACATCGTATAGTTGTTTGGGTGTGGCGAAAAACTGAGGTCCCGTGTACATATTGGCAGTTGGAATTGATATAAGAGTAGGCCATAGCCCACTGTTTGTCGTATGACCGTCTTCATTAGACAAGTCGGAGAAGAACAGTAGGACCTCAAACCCCACTTCCTTTCATTTCATTTAATTTCATCTTCGATATTGGCTATCACATTCTCTCATTCGGTCATAATTATAGTCTCAGTTATGAAATATGGTCTATACAAGGAACTATTTAACTTTGCGATAGACTTCCATGCGAACAATCTGAAACCGCTTCACAATTATATACCAATCAATATATGTCAACCCTAGTTACAGTGTGGGAGAGGCGAGGGATAATTTCTAGTGTTGTAATTTGATTTAAAAAATAGGATTTTACTTTACTCTTACCCACTTTCCTGTCTGTGAGGTGATTAATATTCACTAGTAGTATATTGGACATTTGAACTTTGTTATAGCTTTATTCTTTGATTTAGGTCAAAATAAAGCATTATCTGGTTTTATAGGGTATTTTAATTAGTGATAGTTCAAGTTCCTTACGATGAAATGAAATTTTTGTTTCGAAAGATTTTAAAAGTGGAAGTCGGCTTGTTTCGTTTTATGCTAAAATTGGCGGCAGTGAACATTCAATTTTCGCTCTATATGTGGATTGACGACGCAAATGAAATCAATATGTAGAATTTAACGATATCGACACTTTAATTTTTTTTTATCCAGATCAATTTAAATTATGTAATTAAACATACATTATGCAAGAGCGAAATCTGCCTATTGCAGGTCTTTCTTTAGGCCTGAAATGTGATCTAAATTATTTAGACATCCATTAACTTCTCCAAGCCATAATCAACTCTCGATGGCATCGGATTTCTCCGATATTAAATAGATTAGAACAGTTCAGCCATATTTTGATTTAAGTTAAAAATGGATGAGCGGGTGACTTAGCTTGGAACAACCAGTACGGTGGTTGAAATTATTTCACACGTCTTGTCAAACCTTCAAAGGCTAATATCTTTGCTCGCAATAGAGTAATTTGAATGAAATTTTCAAATTATTCATTTTAGATTATCTATTTTCGAACTATTATAGCAAGAATGACTAGCTCTTTATCTAAATCTCACATAATGTATCTTTAATTTTCTGTTTTGCAGCCTGTAATGTGGTCGCTACTATGGAATTTGGTATTTTAACTTTGAAGAACTATGGTGAAAGAGCTAACTGTTCTATATCTATCATCTATCCAGAGAAAATTTACTTAGTAGATGTAGATGTAGGTGTTTCATCAGAACAACCATCTGTTAAACCCACTTCAGGTCTCTCAGTACAGGTATGCATATAGTATATAGTGATTTTTCAAGAAAAATAAAACACGCAAAATGCGACTATCAAGTGAAATTTATTGCATTAAAACAGTTTTTAGTCGCGCAATATTTCCATTCTAGATTTACTCGTGTTACAGACAAAATGTCTGTAAAACAAAATACAGAAAAGATTGTTTAAATCATATGCTATACGGCCGATACTACTTTGTGGAAGAAAGGTCAGTTGTTTCGGCCTTATAGCTATTATATACACACGTTTCGAGAAGATTCCACATTACAAAAACGAATTATGAAATCTTGTCTAAACGTCGTGTGTTTATATTATATTATAATAATAATGATTGTTAATGTTATCTATAAAACTGTTGTGTTACGTTATGTTCGGGCTAAATGTCATTCAAAGAATTATGTTACACTTTCCGTTCGTCGTTCTTGGTCGTTAACGTTTCATATATCCTACGATGTATTTCGAAAGCGTTAAACTACAGAATTCGGCCACATAAAAAATGGATATTATTTACAGTGTATGAGGGAAATTTTGCCCGGACAGCGGCGCTATGACCTACACTTATTTCGAATTCCAACTGTCAAGGGTTCTTTTACGTGCACGCCAATGTGTACACGGGACCTCGGTTTTTCGTCCCATCCGAACGAATATATACGTCCCTTGCCAGGCTCTATGTCCTACATCACTGACAATGAGAACCACACCGGAAAGCGCAGGCGGGTCTATCCGTTAAATGTCTCAGAAACTTATGACAATTTAAATCGCTGCAGCCTAATCTCAATTTACTATGTATTATCTGATTGTTTCTATCTCCAGTATAAAGTACTGTGGAATATTTCGGTGGTTTTTAATCAAGCTTGCAACAAATAATGGAACAGAATTTAAATTTTGTAGTTTTGAACGTTGTATAATGCTTGTTGGCTCCGATCTGGGGAATTATTACTTTATCAGCTGAAATATATACGTCGTTGTCCTCCGTTCAAACTTGGTGTGAGTCTGTCCTGAGCATGTCCTGATGGAGTTCGAAAATAAGCATTTTCTGTAGTGGTTTTGCTAAAGATAAATTTTACAGTGTAGTGCTAAAGATAAATTTGACTATGTAAATTTTGTATTTATTTTACAGTGTAGTGCTAATGGTAAACCTGACTATGTTGAGTTGTTATATGGAGATGGTCTAGACACAGACCTTATGGGAAGGAAAATGGCTTTCTGTGGACTACGAGCTACAGCAGGTAGGTTGGAAAATTTGACCTCAAATTCATCTTTTAATCATGAAAAGAATAAAGTGACAACAAGTGTTAGATTATCATCATTGTCTGGAAACCTTGCGCCTAGGTTCCTGAATATTTTCAAATATTGAGTTTTTATACACCCACATTTATTATTCGGTCTGTTCAAAACTCATACAGTGTCTTTACATCAGTGCGACGAAGATTTTATTGAATTTCGGCGATTTATGATAACTTCCGGAGTTATTGCCATTTTGCCATTTTGCCATTTGTGGCATCTTTTGAACCTATCATCCGATCTGTTGGAAATGCATAAGTGTTATTCAGAACAGTTTTATCATTTCTAGAATGACCGTCGTTAACTTTGCATAGTCTTATCAACGCTCTAGCAACAAAAGTTAGCTTACAGTCTGCTTGTAAATGCATTGTGTAGTGAAATGAAGAAGCTTCTAGCAGTTAACTTGTTAATTACTGCAGTAGTTATTGCCTTAGTAAATGTTGTAGACTGTTTTGAATGCTCTAACAACGAAATTAAAGCAGTGTTTATATTGGTGAAAAGAATCCTATTGAATTTCAACAATTTTCGTTAATTACGTTTAGGGTTACGGTCCTTGTTTAAGAATTTGCTTGAACTTCATACGTATCGTTGAAATTATGACCCTTGTTCGCCTTGTAAAACCCTATGACCGTTCTCGCAACAATAGTTATTGCCCGATCTGTTTGAGAGGTACATGCATTGTTTAAATTGATAGCACCAAGAAGTCTATTCAAGTTACGTTAGTTACTGTTAGACTGTTAGTCGCGTCTAAAATTTTGTGAACACTCTATCCACATATTAAAAACACTTATATGGATATATTACTTCTGAATTTATTAACATTCTACGTTTCGATACACATACAGATATCGTTATCAAGCAAATAATAATATTTAACACAAATGTATAAGTGCAATATATAGAAAAAGAAATATAACAGAGCAAATCGGCGCAGATGTGGTGATCAGTAGCGGAACCACAGTCAAAACCATGTTAAACTGATGGTAGGTTACAAAAACCAAGAGAAGATCCAAAGGGTGTTATATACAAAATAAATTGTGTGTATAATGGGGCGTATATTGGCGAAATATTCCTGCCGATTTCAGTGAGAACAAAAGGGCATCACATGGCAGTTACAAAACAAGAACATAATAAGTCAGCAATAGCAAAACACATCTATCCAAATCCACAGCATAAAATCAGATGGGAGAATACAGAAATACTAGCCAGAAATTTATCAACATGGAAAAATAGAATTCTACGAGAAGCGCTAGAAATTAAAAAAAAAACATAAGCCAAAATTAAACAGAGACATTTGCTCTCAAACCTTCGGGCGGATTTATTTAATCCCTAATTAATGTGTATATCAGTGTATGGTTTCCTTCCCCTACCTATCGATTTCTAGCCTGTGCTGTTTATCCCCCCTCGCCCCCCCCCCCCCGCCACTACCATCACGTTTTCATCTCGTAGTTATGGTTACATCTGCTAATTACTTTCTAATTGTTATCTATATATTGTTATCTCTCATCTCGTTAATCTCTTATAATTATTAGTTTTATCTGCTAAATTCATCTCGTTTCTAATTGTTATCAATAGATTACATTCTTTCATCTTGTTAATCCTTTGTAATTGTTATCAACATATTACTTCTTTCACCTTTTTAATTCTTTGTAATTAATGATTAATCTGTTATATGTTTTCCAATTTGTATCTATATATTGCACCACATTTTTGTTAAATATTATTTGCTTGATAACGATATATGTATGTGTATCGAAACGTAGCATGTTAATAAGTTCAGAAGTAGTATATCCATATAATGGGGTGAATACGTGCACATTATTTCGGCTCATTTACCATTAAGCGCGAAAGGGTGGGAGAAATGGGAATGAACTTTTGTTGGAACACATAAATATATTGTAATGACATATTTCCCTTGACTATCGGTTTTACATACTTCTTATCTTTCAGCAAAACGTGGAATACCCATGGGATGCCAACACTCGGTTGTTCGCTTGGTCTCAAGTGGTAGCTTCTACAATTCAATTACTTTCTCATTCCAAGCAATGACACCAGATGAGATCTATGCCAGTACAGACATCTGCTAAGACCCGAGTGTTGTAGTTCATCAATAGTTCCTGTAATATGCGGGGTGGACTAATTGGCCTGGAAATAGCTAATGACAATTATTATAAATTAGATGGTCATATTGTATGAAAATATGAGTTATATGATCTGTCCTACTACTCCTTTATATAAACTTATTTTCTTCAAATATTTTTATGTGTTGAGTTCAATAATTATTGATACATTGGAAAATGAAGTGACATGAAATGGAATGGGGTTAAACGACCTACTTTCTGTGCCGACTTGGCTAATGAAGGCGAGCATTGGTCTTGCAGTGTGCTATAAGGGAACTTTTGCGCGGGTAACGGAGCTATATATTATGGCATTTCGAATTCCAATTGTCAAGGGTTCTTTTACATGCACACCAATATGTAGCAAAAGACTACTCAGGGAAGATGATTTTGATTCTTCTGATGAAGACAAAGAATTATCTAGTGACCACTTTTAAAACATTTTGTATGCATGTGTGACCTTCAAAATGACGTTTCATTTTCTGATCATTTCATTCCTAAAGGCAGTGCCGGACTGGGCCCACCTGTCCACCGGCCTAAGCCTAAAAAGAAAAAAAGAAAAAAGAGAAAGAAAAAAGAAAAGATAAAGAAAGGAGGGGGGGGGGGAGAAAAGAAAGAAGGAAGGAGAGGACAAGCCACAGGACAGGAGAAAAAAAAGATAGGACAAAAATGACTGACAAACAACACAAAAAAAGGAAGTGTAGATTCTCAAATTCATCTAATGATAGTGCTCTTAGGTCATGCTGTTATCTAATTGTATCAGGAAATCAAAAAATTGCCTCCTTCTGCTTTGGTCTGAAATGCTTGGAAAATGGGTTTGCGGTTGTCAATTTTCAAAATTTTCCCCAGACCCCCCTCGGACACTCGATCGCCTTCGGCGCGCTCGTGACGCGCCTTCGGCGGGTACTTGTGTGGGCCTTGGTCAATGACCTGACAGGTGGGCCTTCTGCCCACCAGTCCGGCACTGCCTAAAGGGCCTACAATGGTGCTTATGTCCACACCCAAATGACTGACAAAATGTTGAAGGCCTGTGCTTGTTTTTTGATGATAACAAGCAGTTGTCATACAAGATACGCCCACATTTTGCAAGAGATGGACAGAAACAAAGCTACAAAAAGACGATTTTTCTCGTACAATTAAGGGGCATAATCCAAGAAGTTATGGTCCGATAGCCACGAATATCGACAGAAATCGAAATCTCTCGGATATAAACATATATTTTAAGTTTCATCAAAATCAGACAAAAATTCTGACCACTAGAGGGTCCACAACCTTATAAATATATATTTTACACCGTGGATTCAAGGAGCGGCCATTTTGTCGGGTAGTTTCTGTCTGATTTCTACGAAATTCGAACTTAACACTCATTAGGGTGTTACGGTGATATATGTAAACATTTTTTTTTTAAATCATATAAACATTGTGACCTATAGAGGTTCCACAAGCTAAAAATAAAACATGATTTTTCGTACAATCAGGGGCCATAATCCAGGAAATTACAGTCCGATATGCACATATATCGAAAGGAACCAAGATCATTGTGTTATAAACATAAATTTTAAGTTTCATCAAAATCGGATAACAAGCGGTTGCCTTGCAAGATATGCCCACATTCTGCAAGAGATGGATAGAGAACGAGCTAAAAAAACAATGTGATTTTTTGTACAATCAGGGGCCATAATCCAAGAAGTTACGATCCGATATGCGTGAATACCGAAAACAACCAAGATCTTTGGGTTATAAACATGCACTTCAAGTTTCATCAAAACCAGATCAAAATCGGATCAAAATTGTGACCTCGCGAGAGAGAGAGAGAGATAGAGAGAGAGAGAGAGAGAGAGACTAACATATGGTTTAATTTTGCTTCAATAATTCACTTACACATAGGAGTCTTTAGCAGTGGGAGGAAACTAGAGGACCCAGAGAAAACCCACGAGGTCGGACAGGCGACCCTACTCCTTTTCACGGTGACCTCTAGAGGGTCCACCTTAATATACCATATTTTTACACTATTTGCATACGAGAGAGAGAGAGAGAGAGAGAGAGAGAGAGAAATGGGGTTTAACATCCACTCGACACAAAATGAAATGAAATGGGGTTTAACGTCCTACTGTTCTGCTCCTAACCTGGGCTAATGAAGACGGGCATACGCCATACAGTGTGCTATGAGGGAAATTTTGCCCAGACAGCGGCACTACGGCCTACTCCTATATCAAATTCCAACTGCCAAGGGATCTTTTACGTGCACGCCAATGTGTGCACGGGACCTCGGTTTTTCGTCCCGTCCGAACGACTAGACAGCTTTCCTTGTCAGCCCCTCCGTCCTGCATCACTGACAAGGGAGAACCACGCCGGAAAATCTGGATGAACTTTCTCGGCCAATGCAGGGATCGAACACCCGACCTCCAGGCTAGCGAGCTAGCGTCTTACCCACTTAGCCACGTGATCCCCACACTCGACACAAACTAGGTCCTTTCGGGACTAACATATGGTTTAATTTTATTTCAATAATTCGCTTGCGCGTAGGGGTCTTTAGCAGTGGGAGGACCCGGAGAAAACCCACGAGGTTGGACAGGTGACCCTACTCCTTGTCATGTACAACCGGGGATTCGAAACCACGCCAGTCGACTCAATGACAGACTTTATGAAATATAAATCTGTAATCAGATTGGCTTGTGTTCCATGTGAAAGTGTGCTGCAGATAAGCAAAAACATATCAAAATTCAATTTTTAATAATTTATTTAGAAAAATCGAAGCATACTATGAAGTTAGAGAAAGACGTTGAGAATAAAATTTTTGTTCTCGAAGGGCACTATATGATAAAGAAACAATAAAGATTTGTTATCAAAAACAATATAACATACATTTAATACAGATAACAGTTCAATATGCCTTAAAACAATTAGTTCTCATAATTCCATACACTGTATTTACAAGATGCAATTAAAACTTAAACCAAGCCAAAATATACTTTTATTGCGATTAAATACAATAAATTTATTTAAACATTAAAATGGTTTGATTTTGATCTGTTCAAGAAAAAAAAACAATTCATAATTTCATTGGTGTTGATCTGTTCTGTGAGATGACAAGCTTGTCTTTCTTCAAAATTTTATTTCCACATAAAGTCAGATTAGAGAGAGAGAGAGAAATGGGGTTTAACGTCCACTCGACACAAACTAGGTCATTTCGGGACTAACATATGGTTTAATTTTATTTACATAATTCGCTTGCGCGTAGGGGTCTTTAGCAGTGGGAGGAAACCGGAGGACCCGGAGAAAACCCACGAGGTTGGACAGGCGACCCTACTCCTTGCCACGTACAACCGGGGATTCGAAACCACGCCAGTTGACTCAATGACAGACTGTATGATACAGCGCGCGCACGCTAACCATTCAGCCATCCAACCCCCAGTCAGATTAGAGATAAAGTTGATTTTAAGATTTTTATGTGGTTACAAGTTAAGCCAAAAATGAAACTAAAATTAGCCAACACCCAAGGTGCACATTCGAAAGATTTTTTTTCATTCCTAGTTGAAATAACACATCAGATCAACCCAATTAAATACTTCATTTTGACCCAAATTAAAGAAGTTTAGGTCCTTTAATTAATCTTACCGGTAATTCATTAATACATGCAGAATGTTACTTAAAAGATTCTATGTTTGTATTTTCTGAAAGCTTTAAGATTTGAAACTATATATTTGTTTTAATTTGAATGTATAATTTTGTGGTTATTATCTGTGGTAGGAATATGTGGGTATGTTGCCGGAGAATCCTAACTTTATGGTTACCCATCAAAGAATTAGTAGCAGTGTTCACAAATTCAGTTTTCAATAGTTTTTCTGATGTTTTGGTATTAAAATTAATGGAATTTTATCGTGATTTTTTTGTCTCCTATATTTAATATGTTAATTCTATTAAAAAAATCTAATATTTTTAAAAAGATCCAAAATTTCTAAAAATGATCCCAAAAGAAAACATTTAAATTGATTCAATTATTGTATAAGCACTCATATAAGTATTCCATTAGGCCACTACAGAACTTCAAGCCAAAGTTCTTTTTATATTGAAACAAAACAAACAATCAAATAGAAAAAGTAGATTTTACAGATGCATGGTTTAACAATTATTGTTGAGCAATTCGTACAAGAATAGATACATTTAATAATTTGTACATTACTCACAAAAAAATATCATACAGGTACCAAACCAATTTTTTTTTAAAATACACAAAAAGTCATGAAATTTTAAAGATAGAAATAATGAATTTATAAGAATATATATGTCCTGTTATTGAAATTAAATTCTCTAATAAGAGTTACAAAGGATGGATATTTTATTAGTTGAACACATACAACTATATATGGTCATTGTTGGTAAAAAAAGAGGACAATAGGAAGAATGACAATAAAATGGCAATATATATTAAAATGTCTATGTGAATACTTCAGCAGAGACTATCAACTATTTAATGTTAAAATTAACATTATAGTCCTACAACTTTCTGTCCAAGACTAAAAGTAGATTATTCTTCAGTAGCACAATTAGCCATTCCCAGGAAGTGCCACAAATATTTATCATTTGTTACCAGAAACACTCAAAAATAAATTTAATCAACCAAAATACTGCTGTTATAGGGCTATTAACTCCAAACAATCTGTCTCCAGAGGTCTATGTCGCATCCGGTTAATATCATTTAAGTTATTACAGTATATATTTTGTTTTACCACATCTACATTTATATATTGTTTTCTCTATTTCCTGTCAACAATAGAGCAAACAATTCCAGACAAAAATCTACTATCCATTCCTAGGCATTAATATGGCAAATATCACACTTTTTATATTATAATTAATCATGGCCTAACACTTTATAAAGAGATACAACAAGACCACTAATTATCAATTAGACTGAGCCCAAATATGGTAATAAATGTTTATCAGACAGGTACCATAACTCTGGAACTACTACTTACATTTATTTTAGAAAATTTGATGAAAATTAGGGAAAGTACAAGTATGTGTGTGAACAGACGGACAGGGACCAAACAATATAAAAACAGTAACACTACACATCTTACACAAATCATGAACACAGCGAAACAATGAAGAAATATATCTATTCTCAAGACACCTACATATAAAGTAAGGATAAACTAAATAATATTCAGTTCTTTTAGATGGGAAATAATTCAGACTAATTCCTTTTGTTACATATTTACTGTCAAATAACTAAAGAAAGAAAAGGTTATATAAGAAATAGAAAGAATCTCTAAATGTTTTATTGAATGTCATAGTAAAATTAATTTAATGATTTTTTTTGCCAATTTAACCACAAAGTCTGTGTTTTTTCAATACCCAATATCCAATTTTAGACAATTTTTAATTATTAAATTTAATTAGAAAATGGTGTGTCAAGATTTAAAAAAACAAACGAAAACTTGGAAAATAATGGTCAGATCTTATTGTACAGAATAACTAGTTCAGCTCTTAAATAAAACACTACAAAAATTGTTGCCTACATATTTTTTTTTTAATAACATAATGGTCTATTTTTATGCAACTACTTTCATGAAACGTCCTTTCATTCTTCACGGGATCACATACGACAATACTGATTCCAATATTTTACATTTATACAAGAAAATAACAATAGAAAAATAAATCTATCAGATCTTTTTGCAAACTTCAGATGAATGTCGATGAACACAAACAACTTGCACATGGTATAACAAGATTTCAACAATAACAATCATTTTGAAATTTACATGTATACATAACAAATAAATATGTTGCCAGGAGCAACAAGTAGGCCCAAATATGCAACACAATTGTTTGTTGTCATCAAATCTTATGCTACAAATGATTTATGGTAATTGAGTCTAATGTCCCTTCAACACAATACTTTGATCATTTTGAGACTAACATGGTCATATTTATATTGCCCGAAGAGAAGAGTTACTGCTTACTGTTCTTCCTACAGCCAAGGTTTTTATTATGTGCATGCTAATGACTGGGTATACTGTCCTTGTGAACACTGTGATTGATGGGCTGGAAAACCATGAAAGTTCTTCTTGGCCTATGCCATGATTTGAACCCGGGACACACTAGTCGAAAGTCCAGTTACCTGGTTGCTCGAAAACCACTGCATCAAGAAGCAATTTTTAGCAATGATGCACATGGATAACAAATATATACTTATTTCGTTGAAGTACCGTATATTAAATGTTGGTCGAGTTTTATAAATCATCTTCCTGATCTGAATGTTTTAGTTCACTCTTCATCTTATTGTGGGTTTCTCTGGGTCCTCCAGTTTCCTCTTACAGCTGAAGCGAATTACAGAAATAAAATTACAACATATGTTAGTCCTGAAATGACCTATTTTGTGTTGAGTGGAAGTTAAACCCCATTTCTCTCTCTCTCTTTTTATCTTATCTAAACAATTTCTTAATCAGATAAAGCATGTAAACAATTTTCTAAACTTTTTAAACTTATCTTTCTTGAGTTATTTTGACAATAGGCCTGAACAATTCTCAAGGCTAAAGCCAAATGTGGAACCAAGGAAATACATTAAAATAAATTTATAAAAGTGGATTTTTAATTCAGGTGGTTTCATAAAACAAGTAAATAATATTGTTGTGGTTGGCTACATTTTATAATAGATATACACGTGTTGACAAAATTAAACCAGACATTTATTTGATACTGAGAGGCAATACAAACTCATTTGAGATACACAAATTTAACCTTGCAATTCACAATGTTATTACATCAGATCGTGATCGCGTAAAACCGTCACAGATTAGTTTCTGAAACACAAAAAACTGAATTTGACCGAATGGAAGACACAAGGTAGACAACTGTACAAAGAATCCACTGGAGATTTTCCAAGTTCTGGATGGCAATGTATTACTGCAGGATTGCCCACTGTAAGCTTCCGTACTGCTGCTAGTGTGAGGAGTCCACATGACTCGGTGAGAAAGAAGCTGGCTCGCAAACCAGAAAGTCTCGGTTTCGCTCCTGGTGTTGGCCGACAAAGTTCCTTAGGATTTTATTTCATGGTTCCCACTGGTGCAGGAGGGTCTACAAAGGAGAGTGTCTAGTCATTCGGATGGAACAAAACACTGAGGCCCTGTGTACACATTGGCGTGCACGTAAAATAACCCTTGAGAGCAGGCTAGAATGCTGCTGTATGACCAAAATTTCTCTCATAGCACACTATATGCAGAAAAGTAGGACGTTAAATCGGATTACATTTTATTTCTTGTGTCGCTAAATAACCTGTGTACAGTTATGCAAAGTAAATTACATGTCAAGTTCATTTCCAGTCAAATCAGTGGTGTGTTTTCATTGCTTCTCAGTATAGGTTATTACATGTACATATCAGTATATTACATATCAGGAACCTGGGCTTATATCTTGTCCATTTTTTACATATCTCATCGAATACCAATAATGTACCAATTTAACTACCGGTTATTTTACCTCAAAACACTCAATTATTTAACAAAATCATTAGATATTTGTTGAAAAACACCCTCAAAAATAAACTAGGTGAATGCATTTAGCACATACTGTACGTAACTAACAGTTTAATTTACAAACTGATATACCTGTAAAAATCAGTATTACAGTTTTTATTTACCATGGTTAATTGTCAACAGGTGATTTTGTGAACACAAAAGAGAGTATGATAAACAATTATATCTATCGTCATTACAGCCTGTCAGTGGTTATATAAATAACTTTTAATAATGACATTTACACAAACACAAAACTATTCCCATTAATTCTATAGCGCCATAAATATAAATCTTATTTGATAACAGAAACAGTGTTTGCACACTGATTCATTAATTATAGTTAGTTTCCAATTTGTTATAAACAAGTTTAGTTCAGGAAAAGGTACAGGCTGCCTTTAACTGTTCCAATAGGGAAGAGGCAAAAAGTTTAAATTATTCAACTGAAATTAAAAGTCGAATACTAAATTTTTTTTGAATGTTTCCATGTTTCTCTTTTCTCTATATAACATGGAAGCATTTATATTTCTTATTAAGATTTGTGTGTATTTTAGAGACATTTTTATTTTTCCATTGGCGGAAGAAATCATTTTAACATTAATATTGATAATGTCAAAATGCTTTTTCGAAAAGGACATATATTGGGTCCATCTTTTGTCTCTTTCTAGAATAGACTGGAGAGACTTTAATAAGAAATAGTTCATGTTTGGATAAGACTATGGTGATATAATATAATATAAATATATATAGGTTTAATGTGATATTTGTAAAATAATCAACTTAATACACTTTACCCTGTCTTCTCAAATAATATTGTCCTAAATGTGTGGATAAGAAGTCAGTATATTATACCGAATAGACAACATTTTAATATGTTCATTTTACTTCTATCGGTCATAACCATGTGGGTTATTCTACATCAAAGTGATACTGAACAAAAATAATCAAGGTCAGATAACTTTGGCATGTGAATTTAACAAAATGATAAATATAAATACCCGGTAGATTAGATAATCATAGTTCAGTATTCTCATAATTAAGTAAATTTTAAGATGGAATGAAAGTTTCACAACTCTGAGGGCGATTTTAGTTGTATTAACTGTATTAATATTAATGACTTGTTTCAGACATAAAATGTACACAAAACATGTTTATATTTGTATTTATGAAAAGGTATCTACTAATCCTATACTTCAATGTGCACATTTCTAGAAACAATTATTCTTATCAGATCACAATTTCACAGGCAGCTCACTTCAACACACCAAGTACGTCATCCAAAAAAAACATCCTTACAATAACAGGAAATGGTGTTCAAATAGAAGTCAGCTACAAAATGGCTGAGCAATAAAATTAGATTGAAAATCAAATAAAATGTAATTGGACATTATATGTAATTATAACCCTTTACATTCAATAGTATTTTTGAAATCTTACTTATGGCTGGACAGTGTACATATTTGACCATTAAAGTCAATCCTATACAATCTAAAAAGACATTTTTTCTGGTCAAATTTTTAGCAATCTGTGTGAGGATGTTTTCCTGGGTTTTGTACTTTGTGTGTGTTAATCATCTGAGATTCAAATCATTTCTTTGTGAACAAAATATTTGTACGACAAAATACATATGTTCACCATATTGTTTGTGCCAAATAAACTGGGACATTTTTTTTGACAAAGAAAATACATAGATATATGTACAAAATAAACAAACAAATTATTAGAGACATAAAATCAAATTCTTATAAATTCTTCTCTAAGTATATACATTTAATACATTTTACTTACAATCAACTTCATATTCACATATTACCACTGAATGTCAATAAAATACAAAACACTGTTATTCATTCCATCTAATAACAAGCGCTGACCAGCAGATAAACTCCCTTTTAGTGAAAAATTAACTGATCTAATTAAATACAAAAAGTATTATATGTTTTGGAACAGTTAATTATTTTACAATAAGGGGTGGGTTTTTTTTTGCAAACAATCTGTTATTTCTTCTTTTGAATAAAGGCCATCTATGATTTATAAATATTATAGTAAAAATAATTATCTAAATAATGAATAACATTAATAATTATTGCATATGGTACTAATAATAGCCATTAGGTCTTGTTTACATACATGTTAACATTATCTTAATCTTAATAATATTAATGTACACTAAAACAAACTACAAGTTATCAGAAAATCTCCTAAAGCAAAACAACACTATTATTAATTAGCACTTATGGTTTATCAGTTAACATATAAAATATTAAATTATGTTTGTCAATTCTATCTTCTTCTGGTCAATTATTTATCACTTTTTCTCAATGATCCAGGTCACTCAGTAGATCTTCAAATATCGCACAATGTACACAGAAAAGACAATTTAAAAAAAAAAACAATGTTTATTCACAAGACAGTGTTCCTTTCTACACACTAACATCTACACTCTCACTCTGAAAAGATAAAGGACAAATAGGTTGCTAGGCAACGAAACATATGCCCAAAGCAGCTAAGTCGTCCAGGGAGTCAACAAGGGTTGTCACATATTTTTTTTCTTGTCAGAAATGAAAACATTTACAACACACTAAAATATGATTACGAGTAACAATCCATTTGGCTTTTAGTTCTGCCCTATTCTATCATTTAGCATACAAAACATTTAATATCTATTGCCATAATTATTTTTGTCTCATGACCTTAAACACTGTGTATAAATTTAAAGTCACTCAGATATTACCTTTTAGCCTCCACAAGATTTTTCAAAGTGCTCAAGGGCCATAACTCTGGCAATAATTATCAGAAATCGTTGACAATCAATAGGATTCTTCGTCTCAGGACCTTAAACACTGTGTATAAATCTAAAGTCAATCAGATATTAAATTTAGCCTCTAGAATGTCCACAAGATAATTCAAAGTGATTAAGGGCCATAACTCTGGCAGTAATTATCAGAAATTGTTGAAAATCAATAGGCCTCTTTGTCTCATGACCGTAAGCACTGTTTATACATTTAAAGTCAAACGGATATTAAATTTTACTTCTAGAGCGTTCACAAACAATTGTGGACACCAGACGGACAGATAGGGGCGACAACAATATACGATCACATTTCAATGTTGGTGTATAAAAATCAAGGTACACATGGGATCTATTACTTTGAATCCTCTACTATTGTCATCCCCAGCTGACATTGTTATACTTAATGATCGATGGAAATAGTACTTAATAGAAATTATTACAGGCATGAAAATATTGAAACATATACAGGTCTATTCACATTCCACAATAATATGCACATTAACATTACCAGTATAAATAAACAATTTAGGCATAATTAGTCAAATAACTCATCAAAATTTAAAGAATGAAACAGAATTAAATATTGTCAATTAAAGAAAATGTTGCAAATACCAGAACAACATACCTAGAAAGAATCTAATATACAACACAGTAGACAGGTGTAAGATATGGCAAGCCAAAGCGGAATGAATTGCAAGACCGTTTTTTCTGCATGGAAAGAGAAAAATCGAGTATATAACAATTTTTTCATCACCTTCCAAGCATTTTATTCTGTACAAAACGACGTATAAAGATTCAATAAAGATTATTTTTTTCCATTGCTGCTCTTGTATTTTGTTATAGTCAAGTCAATTATACTGTTCACGGAAATATTTTACCACTATATTTTGTTTTTATAAACAATTCAACAAAATTATTTTTCACATGTCAAGACAAAAAAAATACACATGTCAAGACGAAAAAATTCATATGTCAACACTAAAAAATTCACATGTCAAGACGGAAAAATATAGTGATAAAATATTTCAATGAACAGTATAATTGACTTGACTATAACAAAATACAAGAGCATGCAATGGAAAAAAATAATCTTTATTGATATACGTCGTTTTGTACAGAAAAAATGCTTGGAAGGTGATGAAAAAATTGTTATATACTTGATTTTTTCTCTTTCCATACAGACAAAACGATCTTGCAATTAATTCCGCTTTGGCTTGCCATAGTAAGATTCATTGCTAATTGTAGGCTACATATTATAGAATATAGGGATTTGCTTACGTAAGCAACTGCTTCAATTGTCAGCAATTAGGTGGGATTATAATTGATTAAATGGGCTATAGTATTTTAATTGCGGTGTATTCCCACGAAGGTGCAGTTAATGACCGTGAACAAAATTAATCCTTCCCGCAAAGGCGCAGATATCACTCTGAATTTTATTCATCTATTGACATCTAATGATGAAAATCATCATATCATCCAAGTAGTGTTCACTCTGAATTTTATTCACACATTGGCAACTAATGATGAATATCATCAAATCATTCAAGTAGTGTTCGCCCTACTTGGAGCTGGCTTTTGCATCCAAGTAGTGTTTATATATATTCGCTCACTCTCAACCAGTGCCATTCTTAAAGATGTATAAACGCCTGTGACACTATCCGAATTTTGTCTGCGATATCACCCAAGGTGGAAGAAGACGTAAAACCCAACAAACGAACGGACGAAATCCGAATATCAGTTAATATTCTACAATGGTAAACGCACAACCTGAATTCAGCTTTCCACCTACAAGTCGCGGAGGTACCTATCTGTGCTCAGGTGGTTATATGTACCGTGTAAGTAAACGAAATATACATTTTTACAAGACCAGAATATTAATGAAATTAGAATGGTGCAGTATGTCGGGGGACGGGAACCACCAAGGAAGGGACATAAATATGCCCAATTGCAAAGCCAGATCCAGCAATTAAAAAGAAGACTCGAACAAGCGGAATTAACTTTGAAATGAAAATAATTTGTTTTATAGTATATTTATTTTCTTAAAGTCATATGTCAAACATGTTGCTAAAATGCTATTTAATTAGTCACATTAGGGATGGTGAAACTGTAAATTCTTATCATAGCACCATTGTTACATTTTTAATCGTTTTTTATCCCTAAAACCTGGATTCCCGCAAAGGCGCAGAAAACGAACTCCATAATCCGTTACGGTCAATTACTGCGCCTTCGTGGGAATAAACCTTAATTGCTACCTAACTGTAAATATACTAACCTATCTATTATTACGTGTTGGTAAATCAACTACATCTAACTGTAAATGACCAGGTGATACATGATGATCATAGCCTCCCTTAGATGACATCTGTCCTTGTATGGAATTAAGCTGTAATAATAAAAAAACATCACATACACTAATATATTTATTGATAATAAACATTATCTTGAACTGAATTAAAACAAGCCAACAGTGAGGCTGATGTCCCCCGCCGAAATAGGAAAATAATTAGAGGACACATATAAATTTATCACAAATTATCTTTTACAAAGTATTGAACAATCAAACAGTATATCTTTACTTATAGTCTAAGCATACAATGTTAGTTTGATCACTCTCACTTAATTAGAACTAAAGTTATCGTGCCCCAAAGCATCAACCAATCAAATAGCTTATCTCGGCCTATGCAGAAAATGCTCATTATCGAGGTATTCATGTAATGAAACTATAAACCAAGTTTGATCACTCTCACTTAATTAGAACTAAAGTTATCGTGTCCCAAAGCATCAACCAATCAAATGACTTATGTCGGCTTAGCCTGCGCAGAAAAGGTTCATCTAATTAGAACTAAAGTTATCGTGCCCCAAAGCATCAACCAATCAAATAGCTTATCTCGGCCTATGCAGAAAATGCTCATTATCGAGGTATTCATGTAATGAAACTATAAACCAAGTTTGATCACTCTCACTTAATTAGAACTAAAGTTATCGTGTCCCAAAGCATCAACCAATCAAATGACTTATGTCGGCTTAGCCTGCGCAGAAAAGGTTCATCTTCGAACTCCATCTAGGCATTGACCTAATAAAGGCCTACACCAAGTTTGAACATTCTACCTCAATTGGGAGGAGAGTTATTGTGTCCCAAAAAGTGTGACGGACAGACAGACAAACAGACAGACGGACGAACCCATTTTAATAGTCCCCTGCTTTCTTCGAAAGGCGGGGGACAATAAGCATACACACCAATTTTGAACATTTTAACTCAATTCGAAGGAGTGTGACGGACAGACAGACAAACAGACGACGGACGAACCCATTTTAATAGTCCCCTGCTTTCTTCGAAAGGCGGGGGACAATAAGCATACACACCAATTTTGAACATTTTAACTCAATTCGAAGGAGAGTTATTGTGTTCCAAAGTCTCAGCAAATCAAATTGCTTATCGCTCTGCTTAATCTGAGCAGAAAATGCTCATTATCGATCTTAGTCAAGGTATTACTGTAATGAAACTATACACCAAGTTTCATCACTCTCACTTAATTAGAACTAAAGTTGTAGTGTCCCAAAGCATCAACCAATCAAATTGTTTATCTACTTAATTAGAACTAAAGTTATAGTGTCCCAAAGCATCAACCAATCAAATTGTTTATCTCTGCTTACCCTAAGCGGAACGGACAGACAAACAGACAGACGGACGAACCCATTTTAATAGTTCCCTGCTTTCTTCGAAAGGCGGGGGACAATAAGCATGAACATTTACTCAATTCGAAGATCAACCAATCAAATTGTTTATCTCTGCTTACCATAAGCGGAACGGACAGACAGACAAACAGACAGACGGACGAACCCATTTTAATAGTTCCCTGCTTTCTTCGAAAGGCGGGGGACAATCAAAGTAGGAGAGTTATTGTTTTCCAAAGTCTCGACCAATCAAATTGCGTATCGCTCTGCTTACCCTGAGCAGAAAATGCTCATTATCAAACTTAGTCAAGGTATTACTGTAATGAAACTATACACCAAGTTTCATCAATCTCACTTAATTAGAACTAAAGTTATCGTGTCCCAAAGCATCAACCAATAAAATTGCTTATCTCTGCTTACCCTAAGCGGAAAATGCTCATCTTCGAACTCCATCAAGGCATTGACCTAATCAACACATACACCAAGTTTGAACATTCTAGCTCAATTAGGAAGAGAGTTATCGTGCCCCAAAGTATCAACCAATCAAATTGCTTATCTCTGCTTACCCTAAGCGGAAAATGCTCATCTTCGAACTCCATCAAGGCATTGACCTAATAAACACATACACCAAGTTTGAACATTCTAGCTCAATTAAAAGTTATCGTGTCCCAAAGCATCAACCAATCAAATTGCTTATCTCTGCTTACCCTAAGCGGAAAATGCTCATCTTCGAACTCCATCAAGGCATTGGCCTAATCAACCCATACACCAAGTTTGAACATTCTAGCCCAATTAGGAAGAGAGTTATCGTGTCCCAAAGCATCAACCAATCAAATTGCTTATCTCTGCTTACCCTAAGCGGAAAATGCTCATCTTCGAACTCCATAAAGGCATTGACCTAATTAACACATACACCAAGTTTGAACATTCTAGCTCAATTAGGAAGAGAGTTATTGTGTCCCAAAAAGTGTGACGGACAGACAGACGGACAGACAGACAGACGGACGAACCCATTTTAATAGTCTCCTGCTTTCTTCGAAAGGCGGGGGACAAAAATAATGGCCAAAATCAACATAAAAAAAAACATCGAACCTATGATAAATTCATTCAACATGCATTTGTAAAACATCTAACCCATAAGAAGCACACCCATTAGTAATTATGATTTTAAAGTCTTCGGCCATCCCATCTACATTATTGAAGACTTATAAAATCATTAGCCTCTCTACAGAAAGTTAAGGGCTTAGTTTCAGTTATTATCCATTCCTGAGTCACTCCAAAATATGTTTAAGAGAGTATGACATATATATACTTTTTAAAATTGCTATCAAGCAGCAAGCCCAGGTTTATAATATAAATAAACACCTAAAATGTTTGGTTTATTGTAAAAGGATTTATAAGCCATCTATGAAAACAAGTCAAAGTCATCTCCATTTGATCAAGTCAATTTAGCATATTTTTTGACACAATTTATGAACCATGAAATTATTTGTCTTAATTCAACCATGAAAATTATTATGTTGGTATATGAGAATTTGAAATAGGTTAAAACATATTTAAATATTCAAAATAATAAGTTTACTGATTTAAAAGTTAATTAATCTTGAAAAAAAAATGTGTTTGAATTACCATTTGGAGACAATGGATTATATTCAAAGCGAGTCTTAAGTGACTCATACATTTAAAGGGAAATAACTCCCATTTTGTTTTGCTCCAACAACAAATAGTGCTTAGCCTTCAACAAACCGTAGAAGTGTAATTTGCGCTTAAAAGTCTTATAGTAACTGGGTGAAATGAGAGTTTGTTTGTCGATTGAATCTGTTAAAACAGAAAGCTATAAACCAAGTTCTATACTATTTACAGACATGATTGACTATGATATGTGAACTATCTCTTTAACTTGTTGGAAAATTGACAGTAGAAAACATCAATATCATCATGTTGTTTTAGCATATTTTGATTATACTTTAGCGTTTTAATTTTCAATTATAAAAAGAAAATTAGTCATGAATACAGTAAACTAAAACATAAATTTATTGCAAGTGATAAATTAATGCTTTAAATGAAATTTACCACAAATCGCATTAATTTCAATGCACATATATTTGTTCCGTAACGAATGGAACATTTATCGTCAACAGATAACAGAAAGTTTTTATCATTTTGAGACTAACATATGGTAATTACTAATGGAATCATTAATACAATACTTTGTAATTTGGAGAAAAACATAGATGTACAGTTAATTACCACTGGTGCAATGCTAGAGAGAAGAATTCTGCCCCAACAGCAGTCTTTCTGCATACTTCTTCGAATCTAACGGGAGACGCGGTGGCATGCTAACTTGGAGGTCACGTGTTTGATCCTGGTGTTGGCAGAGAAAGATCATCTGGATTTTCTGGCCTGTCAATGGTGCAGAACAGAGGGCCTGGCAAGCAAAAACTATTATACTTGTACAGAGGGGACAGAAACCATGCAGCAAATTTGCTTACACTTGAAAAAAAGAACCTTTGGCAGTTGGAATTCGATTTAAGAATAGGCCATAGCACTGCTATCCAGGCAAAATTTATCATAAGGAGGCTGATATCCCCTACCACCTTAATCCCAAAATGAATAGATGACACTCATTAATTATATTAATGTGCATACATGTATATACCTTTTTATAACCCATTAATAGAACACAATTTTTATGGGAAACAATCACTGGTTTATTCTAAAAGCACGACGTTTCGACAAGTATCCTCTTATCGTTATCAAGCACAATGACATTTCATAAACTTCAGATGAATATATAAGAGTGGACATGGTGAAACCATATAATAAGATAAAATAACAATAACAATAAAGATAAAGGATTAAACAAATTAGACATAAGATAAGTAGGGTAGTTAATTAGACAATCAACAACAAATGGAAAACATTTAGCTAATTATGAAGACCATCAAAGGGAGCCGTTGGATGCTGTTATGTTGTTTCAATGAGGTAATAGGGATGAAACCATTTACTAAGATATGGATAACACTTATAATAAATTAATGTAGGCATTGCATAGTCCATTAACAGAAGGCTAAATAAACAGGATAGGTGATAATATGTATGGTAGATGAGCAAGTGGTTATGACAATGAAAAAATTAAGAGTGTGAAAGCTCAAAAAAGAAATGACAAATGAAGTTAATAGCCTAATAAGTTAAACAGTCCAGAAAAAAGCCATAGGTTGGAAACATATTGTAATAAATGGGGTGATAAAGGGGGGGGACCATTTAACTTACTATTACATACATACTAATAGTATGTGAACGCTCAAAAAGAAATGACAAATGAAGTTAATAGCCTAATAAATTAAACAGTCCAGAAAAAAGGCCATAGGTTGGAAACATATTGTAATAAATGGGGTGATAAAGGGGGGGGGGGGACCATTTAACTTACTAATACATACACACTAATAGTAAGAAAGCAAGTACACACTGCCAATTCTCTCAGACTAACTAAACAGTTAAAGTTTGTGATTAATGGGTTGTAACTTAAGTTGAATTGTTCATTTTGATGACCTGATCGTATGCCCTTGAAATAGCCTGAGCAGAATATGCTCATCATCAAACTTAGTCAATGTATTGATGTAATTACTCCCAAATCTCGTCACTCTTTCTCACTAGAGAGTTATTGATTTCTATCAAGTGTCGACATATCAAATTGTTACATCATCAAAATCAGTCAAGGCATTCACCTAATGAGCACGTAGTTTGAACATTTTACTTTAATTAAAAGCTTAGTTATTGTGTTACAAAGTCATGACCAATCAAGTTGCATTTTTTTAAAATGAAGTGTTCATCATTATCACCTTATGTTCATCTACACCAAGTTCGAATATTCTACTTCAATCAGAAACTGAGTTATGGTGTACCAATAGGTATGACAAATAGACGACCCCATTTGAACAGTTACCTGGTCTCTCAAAAAGAGAGGTGATAAAAACTGTAAAACCTGGTACCGAGCCAAACCCAGTATACTTTACCTAGACTGTGTGAAGATGACCTAGTGTGTAGAATTTTGACATTTGTCTTATAACTTCATGCTAACTGTGCATGCAACCTACCAGTAATTTGTTTGTTTAATTAAGCGTTAGAGGTTTCACTAAAGATGAAGAGGTGAAATTTTCTACCAGGTCACACAAAGCTGTCAAAACTTTCTATATAGACAACACAGTATAAGATGAGTGTTATTTTAATTGAAATGAGAAAAAGAATGTATACTTACATTACTGGTATTATTACTGACATCTCCCGAACCTACATGAGTAGTATGACGAAAATCTGTTGGTGCACCTATCATACTTCTGTCTATTCTTCGTCTTTGTCGTTTCTGTAATTTAATTATAGACTTTACAATTGTATTTGTAATCGATTAAATATGTATAGACTTTACAATCAATGTATATTATGTAATGGATCACATGTATAGACTTTACAATCATTGTATATGGAATGGATTACATGTATACATTACAAATACAATCATTGTATGGATCACATATGTAGGCTATACTTTTTGATGAACTCAAATTTCAATTGTTTATTGCCAGTGCTCAAGGACCAATATGAATAGCATGTATATCTACTATCACACATAAAACATAAGCATAACCAAGTTTTAAAAATGTTTGATAGCTACATGACGACATAACTGCATTTAAAAAAAAATCTCTTCACATTATTGAAAACATTTATAGCTACATTTTAAAAAACATTTATAGCTACATTTTAGAAAACATTTATAGCTACATTTTAGAAAACATTTAGAGCTACATTTTAGAAAACATTTATAGCTACATTTTAGAAATAATATCACATTACTGAAAACATTTATAACTACATTTTAGAAATAAAATCTTTTCACATTATTGAAAACATAACTACATTTTAAAAATAAAATCTCTTCACATTATTGAAAACAACTACATTTTAGAAATAAAATCTCTTCACATTCTTGAATACATAACTACATTTTAGAAATCTCTTCACATTATTGAAAACATCAACTACATTTTAGAAATAAAATCTCTTCCCATTATTGAAAACATAATATATTTTAGAAATAAAATCTCTTCACATTATTGAAAACGTAACTACATTTTAAAAATAAAATCTCTTCACATAATTGAAAACATAACTGTATTTTAGAAATAAAATCTCTTCCCATTATTGAATACATAATTCATAACTACATTTTAGAATTCTCTTCCCATTATTGAAAACAAAACTATGTTTTAGAAATAAAATCTCTTCACATTATTGAAAACATAACTACATTTTAGAAATAAAATGGATTTGTTGATAAAAATAATGAACTTACAGGTTGCGGTTGTTCTGTTATACAGCAGTTTAAACATAATAATGTATCCCCCATGATTTGGTCCACTTCCAACAATCTATTGCTATGTTTGTTTGTTGACTTGGATCAGTTTTACGCAAACAACAGGTACTCCTCTTTGTTTACTGTTTTTTGTCAGAAAAGTTTGTCAGTTTTCTGAAAAAATATTAAAAAATCCCACACAAATAAAAATCATTCGCAACAAGAAGTAGTAAATCACAATAGTAGTGTGGGTGTTTGGGAATTATTACCCAGATGGTTTAATGAATATATTGAGTTTAGACAGGTACATTATGAATTACATCGTCTCTTTAGTTCAGGTCGACTGTTAAACATAAAATATGTTGGGTTATGAACATAAAATTTTTAACAAAGAAAGCTTTTCATATCACATTTTTCCATAAACTATTAATTAGGTGCAGGAAGACTACACCAAACATAACTATTAACTAAAAACCCAGAAGACAAACACATGCTACAAACTTATTAAGTGGACTCCCCAAAAAAACCAATAATTTTAGTCATATCTGTAATTGAAATTGATGGACCACAAAATCAGAATGTACTAGTTGTGAAGGCTTTAGGGGCGTTATTGGCTGATTATAGTCCACTGCAGCCATGATATAATGTTTGAAAAAGCTGATTTAAAAAATAACGAACTGGCCCTATGGTATTGTATTGTAAGTCAATTTAGTTCTAACTGGTTTTTGTCTCATGAGTGAATTTACGAGCCAATAAACCTTTGTATATCTCAGCAATGGGGCGAATGTAGATTCGTTTAGTTCAGATCACAATCAAAGTAATCACCACTTTTAACTATAACCACAATAATCCAAGATTTAAGTTATCAGAAATATAAATTTAAATATGTCTAGTTTTTACATTACAAAGCCAAAACCCACATATATTTCTTTTTAGTCACAAAATGTATGTTATCATATCAAGTTTCCAGGATATTGAAAATTTCATTCAAATTACTTTATTTTGAGCAAATTTATCAACGATTGTAGTTTTGACAAGATGACTACATTGATCGTAACCACAGTACTGGTCATTTGAGTCTTAGCCACGCTTCATTATTTTTAAATTAAATGGCCGAACCGTTCTAATCAGTAATCTACATAAAATCGGAGCTATCCGATGGCATCAAGACTTGATTATGGTCTTGTCATGTTAATAAATCTCTAATTTATAACTTATATAACATTTAAGGTCCAAAAGAAAGACCTGCAAAAGGGAGACTTAGCTCTTACATAAATAATCCCAGTCTAAAAGAAATTTGTTTCCATTATATTCTTGTCAATATATCAACGATACACAACACAATGAAAGCCTTTATTTAAAATGATGACCTCAAATATAGCAAATCATGTGATACATGACTTGTCATTTGTAACTAATGATGTTCCTGGCTGTCAAAATGTACATGTATGACACAACAACTCGCCTAGATTATCTCTTAATTACATGACCTCTAACAATTTTCTGGTAAAGATTTGTGATTAGACAGCAAATTTGTTTAAGTCTCTTTCTTCCTTCCTCCTTAGGCCAATCTACTCCTTTAAAGGAGTATTCCCAAATTTAAATATTTGTAAATTAAATCTCAAAATGTGATGATTTAGCTTATGCACTAGTTTGAATAAGATTGCTAGACTTGCTTAAAGATGAATTATGTAAGAGCTGAATCTGCCTATTGCAGATTCTTCTTTTGGCTTCAAATGTTATAAATTATCATTTAAACATTTATTCACAAGCCTGTAATCAACTTTCTTCTGATGTGCAAGATTTCAATGGATTTAAACACCCACTAGATAAAAAAAAATCAATATAATGGATAATCAAGACTTAGTTTCAGTTGTCAAGTACATTTGCTACAATATAAACGATCTACACTACTTCTTCAAATAGTCACAACTTTGTCCAGAGTTATACATACATTATGCAAGAGCTAAATCTGTCTATTGCAGGTCTTTCTTTAGGCCTGCAGACCATAATCAACTCTCGATGCCATCACTAGCCTGCGATATTTACTGGATTAGGATCCGATTTGCTGCTCAACTTTCATTCATGATTTAGTCATGAAATGGATAATCGAGACTATGTTTTTATCGTACTGACTTTAGTAATGATTATCGAGGCTAGGCCAAAAATTCAATCGCTAAATTCTCGGTTTGGAGTGGATCAATTTAAATGAAATTTTCAGCAAATTCCCTTAATATATAGTTTTTAACTATTATAGTGAGAACTGCCAGCTCTTTATCTAATCTCCAATAATGTATCTTTAAGTAATTTGAACGAAATTTTCTGATTTTAATACATGTACATTCATTTTGCATTATCTATTTTTAAACTATTAATATTATAGCAAGAACAACCAGCTCTTCATCTATTTAAATCTTACATAACGCATCTTTAACATAGTTACTTGTATAAGTGACTTGACAATTGCAACAATCACATTTGATTATAACTTCGGCAAATATAGATATGGTTAACCAGACACTTAGATAACATAGAATTAGGGGACTTATGGCCAAACCCTTATGGAAAATAACAGTTTGCATTTCTTCAAAAAATGGAGCAATAGTTGCACAGGTCTAGGATAAAGGTTTGCAAAAGTCTATAACAAGAAATCACTTAGTTCTATTCACTAAAATATACAAGAGATTGCTTCTTTAAGTATGCTGGTAGCACACAAGTACCTCTTAACTTCGAAAGAGATTTAAATTTCAATTTAAAGATATATTTCCTTGACAGTCCAGATAAAAAATACATAACCACAGATCGACAGGAAAATAGATTCAAACTATCAAGGAAATCCTAGTTCATGTTCCACACCCAACTGGCACATGATTTCTGGGGCCAGTTTCTCACTTCTAGTCTAGGGTTGCATCTGTATGGTTTACAAAGGAAGTGTGAGTATTTCATACAGAAAACAAGGTACACCCTTGTAAACACTATTGAGATTTGAGTCCATGTACATTTGTAAAAGAACCCTGCTTTGACAGTTGGAAATTGATAATGTATAGAGTTTTAGCAAGACAAGATTAAATCTACTTGTGTAAGTAACTTGTATAGTACCCTGAGAACAAAAGATTCGGTATGCTTATTTAAAGATCGATTTCCTTTCAAATAGTTATATAACTAATCAACAGAGTAGCCTATGAGCTGATGTTTATTGATTAGAAAACAACGACAGGATCTCTTATATGATAGGTAGTCAATTAATTTAAAAATATTTTCCCTCAAAGGGTACTATCAATGTCAAATAAAAGGTGTCATGATCACACAGGCCAGGCGACTGGGAAAAAATAAATTATCCTGGGCAATATTATAAGCCTACATTAAAGAAAAAAAAAAGTAGTTATGATTTACGAGAGAATGTACCTGGGTGATACATCATATCATACATACAGTTCATAATTAACATAATTATGACAAGTTTAAAAAGTTAACCTTGGCTAGACCAACAACTAACATACCAGTAAATGTATATGAAATAAATTAGGCCTATCAAATTTTTTTTAGCAACTGAATTAAAACAGATTAGCTACTCACACTCACATCATCATATTATCAAATAATAACCTTAATTTTTCTCTATTCACATTAAGGCTGCCAAAGAACACCAGACGGATTTCATAACAATAGATACTTATGAATGATGACTAAATAGTAAATGATGAGTTATTAATACATCAACAAAATTTCTCACTCTCACTACTCTCAGTCTAATGCCCATTTTACTGCTGACACAACTTTGTCGGTCTGTGTTCCACCCGGTAACGCCCATAATTTGTTTGTTTCTAAACACATATTCAACTCGTATTATCTTTCAGGCGGTTAGTAAGATTACTTACGTTTTAAAGATATGCTTAGATCGACGGAATGTATCATTATTTTACATAGAAGCTTGAAATAACTTCAGAATTCCTTATTGATGAAGATAGAACAGGAAAAACGGACTGCCGGAAGTCATTCGGTCGAGGTAGCTCGGTCCATATTGGGACGTCATACACCGAAAGCCCTGTAATACAAGACTAATGTAAGTTCGGGTCATACTATCATAGAGATATGGTTTGCGTTTACTTCGAGTAGCAACAATTTGATGCTCTAATCGGCGCTGTTCATTTTATATTTATTCACAGTATAAAAAATGCTTTAACAAAATGGGAAGCAACAGCCTTGTTTAATTTTTTCCCCAGAAAACATTAGTCATTGCAGACCTATACCCTTGGTGAGAGCGGAGATATTATATTTACCTCGACAAGCCGATTGAAGTATACCTGACGGATTATCGATTATCAAGAAGTCCAGCCAGCAAGTTAAGACGGGAGAAGAATACTGATTGCTGTCTTATATTTTACCTTACACATTGTAAAATGTAATAAAATATAATATTTTTAATAAACTGAATGGGGGAAAATACAAGTTATGTTAAAACATAATATAATATTATTCGAGTCAACGACTATAGTATAGACCTGTCCTATTAAAGATGCAGGACGGAGGGGCTGACAAGGAAAGCTGTCTAGTCGTTCGGATGGGACGAAAAACCGAGGTCCCGTGTACACATTGGCGTGCACGTAAAAGATCCCTTGGCAGTTGGAATTCGATATAAGAGTAGGCCGTAGTGCCGCTGTCCGGGCAAAATTTCACTCATAGCACACTGTATGGCGTATGCCCGTCTTCATTAGCCCAGGTTAGGAGCAGAACAGTAGGACGTTAAACTCCATTTCATTTCATTTCGTCCTATTAAAGGGACAATAACACTCTTGCTGGCTTGAAAGCTCCAGAAAATAAATAATATCTCTATCTAAGTACTAGATGTTTAAGTGTCCTACCTGTTGTGTAAATTATCCATTACATCCTATTTTACTTGTCCAGAGGGTTCGAAAATATTTTTAAATCGAAGTTTCATTTGAAAAGGTTTACGTTAGACGTTTCAAACCATTATGTTGAATTTTTCAAAATTTTTAAATAAGGTGTGTTAAGATGAAATTTGTATCATCAATTAATTGAAATATTCTAAAATAGTACAATTTGTTGACCAGAATAAAGATTGGGACATATTATTCAGTTACAATAAGAGTGGTATAATATCGAAATTATTTGCATTTCGGGTTTTGCATTTTCGGATATATTTTGATATTAGATAACGAATAAACTATAGGTAAACAGCAACGGCTAATGTTTTCGTTTTGACAGAAATGGATTGAAATGTGGTTTAACGTCGTCTTTTTCTGAAATGGCACACGCCATGCAGTGAGTTTTTGCTAGGATCTCGTCGTCGAATTCCAAATGTAAAGGGTTCATTTACGCGCACGCCAACGTACTGTACATTAAGCTAATGCTAACCAGGGGGTCAGGTCTTGGCCGTGAAAGTTCCCCGGTATTCTAGCGTGATTTCCCATTGTCATGTGATTCAGGGCGGTCGAGGGCCTGGCAACGACAGCGTCTAGTCTGTCGGATGGGACAAGAAATCGAGGCCCCGTGTACAAATTGGGATGCACGTAAAAGAACCCTTGCCAGTTGGAATTCGAAATAAGTGAAGGCCGTAGCGCCGCTGCCCGGGAAAGATTTTTTTGATAGATGATTATCACGTACGCCCGTCTTCATAATCCCGGTCAGTGCAGAAAAGTTGGACGTTTAACCCTGTTTCTTTTCATTTCATCTGTTTTTAAAGTTACCCGTATTCGTATCATTATAAACATTCCTAGTTTGACTTTTCAAACTACTAAGAGAAAATTAACACGGATTGTCTTGTGTCCCGGTCATGCTTATAGAGGTATTGGCATTTTATGGTTGGTAAAGAGAGAGAGAGAGGAATGGGGTTTAACGTCCACTCGACACAAACTAGGTCATTTCGGGACAAACATAGAGTTTAATTTTTTTTATTTCAATAATTGGCTTGCGGTTACCTCGTACATTTTTCGAGCAATGCATTTCCGTTTTTCGGGCACAAACATCAGTGAATGAGACCATCATAGGAATAGAATTGTATAATTGTAAAAATAAACAACCATCACAGCTTTGTGGAAAACTGGTTTTAGTTGATGATTGATTCATTCTGAAAATTTGGGTGACAAAGAAAATTTTCGGGCAAATAGCTTCATCCCCCACCCCCCTCAGCCCCACCACCTGAGATTGGCCCCCTACGCCTATGGTCCCGTGGGCGTTCAAATAAGATTGTGTCCAAAATTTGAGTCAATCTGTCAATTCATTGCTGAGATATAAGTTAAGCCTACTGTTATATCCTTTTCTAGTGGTGCTCGTGCATAAGCTTGTTGCAAGTACCGTTATGTCCTATTTGTCATGGATTCCGTAGGCTGTCAGTAGTGTTTGGATTTTATTTAATCCGCGCCGACACCGCAAAGGCTTGGTCTGAACGCTATTTGTCTGCTCATATCATCCGAAAAATATACCCTCACGGAAAGGTCATCTCATTTGCTACAGAGCGATCACTTCAATTTAAAATATTTTGAGGTTTTCTGCTTTCAGTCAGTGGTTTTAATGGGGGTACAAACAAGAATATTTACGCAAATAACAGATTGGTATTTGTTATTTGTTATTTTAATAAGAAAAAGACATCGAAACAAACAGTTCAAGATTATGGAGCATTATGCACAGAAATACCACTGCACAGCCATTCGATCTCAAAACTAAGTTATTTTAACCATCCGTTAAACTCTAACGGATTGTTATATTGCTAACGTACCGTTTATTAACGGTCCGTTAAATTTCTGTTGCTGGAAAGTCAACTTCATTATCCGTTAGCTGACTGACTGATTAAAGTTAATCCGAGAATACTGTTTGTTCATTAGCTGAATTTTAAATTTTTAAATTCAATGTACATGTATAACAACTTCATAAAAATTAGTATTAACAAGAAACTTAAGACCGTGTGACAACTGTGCAGTCTGTTCACAAAACTTGATTAAAGACAAAAACATAACTGTAGAATTTACTACAGAAAATACTATAAAAAAACATAGAATACTTTATTTTTTCTTTTAGAAATTTTAGCATAAATCTGTAGGAAAAATTATGGGATTTGCACTACAGAAACTGTAGAATATTTGGAGCCATTATTTCCTATACAGGCCCCCAAAATTCTGTAGAATACTATAGATTTCATCCTATAGAAAATGGAATACACCCCCCCCCCCCAACGCCCAACCCTCTAGATTTTTCTACAGAAAATTACATTGGTAATTATTCATGACTTTTTGCTAAGGCTATACTTCGACTGACAGCCCACTAATGCCATCGTCAAACAAATAACGGAGCCCAACACCTCCGTTAAGGTCCGTTCATACTACATCCGTATCCGTATCTGTAAATACGTGCGTGAATACGTACTGGTATACTTTAGTTACTTTTAGAGAAAGGGTTCAAATAGAATCCGGCACGTATTGCGCACAAAAACAACTGCGTCCGTTAAGCCGGATTGATTGCTCCCAGAGCGTATTTTTGTAAAGTGCGTCCGGCATTTCGGCTAGTGAGCCGAGCTTTAGCCAATCAGCGAGTACTTTCCACTTATTACATCATCTCCCAAAACAGAAACTCAATCCATTCCAAGAAAAGCCTGGCCTTGTGTGCTGTGGATTTGTGTTGTCTTGCATGTGAAGAACACAACATGGACAAGACAGAGGAAATATTGTCTGAATTTGTCCGGATGAAAATACAATTCTTGCACCAGGTTGTGGTATTCTCCATATTTCTTTCTTCTTTGTAACAGTTCATGGACCCCTACTCTCTTTTTTCTCTTTCGTCTTTGGGTTCACAAATACAAAAGAAAGACTTCCTCTGTGTCACTGTCAGACTCCATGATTGCAAATGACAATATGTTATCTCTGACAGACAATTCAGCCTTGAAAGCCGGACGTTTTCGCGTTTTCTATTTGAACGGCAAAACGCGGATACGGATGCGGGTGCGGATACGGATGTAGTATGAACCGAGCTTTAAAGATAACAATCCGTTAACTCCATGTTAACCGGCCCCTAGTGTGTAAACTTACATGTCGCCACTCGCCAAATACATAACAGCGAAATCTGTTATATGGGTCCCTTCTATAGTTCTATAATATAGAACTCATATATTAACAGAAATGAACTCATACCATATAAATGAAATGAAATAAAATGAGGTTTAACGTCCTACTGTTCTGCACCGACTGGGCTAATGAAGTCAGGCATATACCACGTGTGCTATGAGGTAAATTTTGCCCGGTCAGTGGCACTATGGACTAATCTTATATCTGATCCACTCTTAATCTGGCCTACTCTTAATGAATTCCAGCTGTCAATGGTTCTTTTACGTGAATCTCGATTTTCCGTCCCATCCAAACGACTATACGTTGCCCTTGCCAGGCCATCTGTCCCGCACCACTGACAACGCCCCGATGAACTTTCTCGGTCAACACAGGACCTTCAGAATAGTGAGCCAACGTCTTATTCACTGAGCCACCGTGGCTCTCATATAACATGTACAGCCAAGTAAGTATGTTTTAACCGCCAGTAGTAGTTATAAAAAAATGAAATGAAGTTTAGTTTAGTTTAACGTCCTGCTTTTCTGCACCAACAGTATGCTATGAGGGGGAATTTCGCCTGGACAGCGGCGCTATACGGGCTACTCTTATACTGAATTCCAACTGCCAAGGGCTCTTTTACGTGCACGCCTATGTGTACACATGACAACCCACTAAAACTATAGTTCCCGCTCATAATATCAGAACCTTCAACTAGGAGTGAATAGTGCATAACGGGCACCTGCTATTAACTATATAACCGAGGTAAACCGAATGGTGTCAACTCTATATAGTCTTGTTTTTCCAGATAGTTAATATTGTAGGGCAATCGATTAGAATTTGACGAGGTTGAATCTGGTGCATCTGTTGCCGACAGTTGTTTAAGTTTCGGCACAATTCGTGTCACCATCATCACTATGAAGCGTGGACTAAGAACTACAACCATGAAAACTTGCGCACTGTTCCTGCTGATTACAGCATACTTTGAAAGCATAGTGTGTCAGGAACAAATTTCTACAGCAGACTGGGCTGCTGTCACACAAACCAATCCACGTGTACTTGTTTTGTTTTGTAAGTAGACCGGTGTGGTGGGGGATTATGAATGAATGAAATGGTTACTTAAATTCCTACTTGTATGAACCAAGGGGTCTAATGAAGACGGACACACTCCATACATTGTGCTATGAAGAGAATTATGTCCATCAACTGTTAATGTTTCTTTTAGTGCACTCCGGCTACTCGGCGGAGTTGATCGGTACGTTTTCCGTCCATCCGAACGACTACTCTGTTCCGTGCCAACTAAATTCCATATTTCCTTCTAGCTCCATATAAAAAATATAGGTTGGCAGCTGGGCACTATACTTTATATTTTATGAAATTCAAGAATAATTATTAGGGCAATGAATTGTACAAAGTAGCTATTCAATTTTATCCAGTATAATATTTTTTTGCTTATACATTTATCTTAGAAAGGTCCCTGGCTTATATAATGAAAAACTTCAAACTAACAAAAAATGAACATTAGATGTGGGAATGCTGTTTTGTATGGCGGTATATTAGATTCAAAATTCTAACGTGCTATCGTCTAATTTATAACTTCTGTTGATGTAATTTTTAACTTCTGTTCATGTAATTTTTAACTTCTATTCATGTAATTTCTAACTTTCATTCATGTAATTTAAGACAATGTATAATCTAACTTCTTTATTTGTTTAGTGTAAATTTTAATTCCATTTGATCTTATTTCTATTGTTTAGATGAAAAACGTCTTCTTCATTGATGCTTTACAGGTTTAGCATGAATTTAGAATTTTTATACTTCTGCCTACCAACCATCATTATGAAGTCATTGGTGTCGCCACTGCGTGCTCATTTGGTGATTGCGCACTTGGTCTGGACCATTATGTTTATTTAAAATACAGATGTGACGTCACCCTTTGATGTTGGCGTACCATTATTTCAAATAATCGTACGGGCAACTTGCCAATCGTACCTTGTCAAATATTAGACTCGAGTGACGTATTTCACTGTAAACGCACGTGCGGAGTGTCTGTATTTTAAGATGTTAAAAGGTCTCGAGCTGAGACATTGCGTAATATATTGTAAAAACACTCGGACCTGACGGTCCTCTTGTTGTTACAATATATTACTTAATGTCTCGCTCTCGACCATTAAACAATACATAAATGACTCGTTCTTCGTCGGGTTGATGGTTGGCCGAAGTGCTGGAATTTAGAGAGAGAGAGAGGGGAAAATGGGGTTTAACGACCACTATACACAAACTAGGTCATTTTGGGACTAACATATAGTTCAATTTTTATTTCAATAATTCGCTTGTGTGTAGGGGTCTAGCAGTGGGAGGAAACCGAAGGACCCGGAGAAAACGCACAAAGTTAGACAGACGACCCTACTCCTTGTCACGTACAACCGGCGAATCGATGCTGAGATTGAAAACAACATCAAACGTGATATGGTTGGCAAATACTATTTCAAATATGTTAAAGGACCTAAGTCCGTAACTCAAAATCCTCCAAAATCTTCGACATCGAAAACACAAATTATTGGTCAATTTAAATCAACATTGATGATGTAAACTTACCGGGAAAAGATATGCTTCTGATATCCGATATTTAAGATAAAATAATTTTTTTAACATTGGTACACGAATCGTGTACCAATGCGCTTCAGCCCCAGTTGTATTGAGGGACGAGGCTAGACACATTGCACCAAATCAAATGGAGTTATGTAGACTAGAATAACTAGACGCTAGAAATTTGCACTTGATTTAGATTGCTGACTTATTTCACCGAACATAACTGATTTGAAATTGGAGTAAAAACGGAAACCATTAAATGTAAATCAGTTTATATACATTCATATTACAGTATTATATGCGTTGCGACCCACTTTTGTGAATTTCTAGGTCCCAAATGTTAGCGATTTAGCTCCTTTAAAGCAGTATTAGAATACATATCAACAGTATATAAATATTAATTGGATTAACTGTAAATAAAATTCTCCAAATCCTGCACTTGTCTTAAAAAAAAAATAGGAATGAACATAATGCTGTTTAGCTTATATTTGAAATAGTATTTGCAAACCATATCATGTTCGATGTTGTTTTCAATTTTAACACTCTTGCCAAACCATTCAACCTAACAAAGGGCAAGTCGTTTGTATCAAAATAATGGTCCCGATCAGGTGCTCATGTCTTAATTTATAGATAACATGAATAGAAGTCAGAAATTACATGGATAGAAGTTAGAAATTAGACGATAGCATGTTAGAATTTGAATCTAATATACTGCCATAGTTTTGGGTGTTTGTAAATTTTATGTTCATAATATTTTTAAAAAGACCCAGAGAACCTGACAGTTGTGATTTGGTCAATTTAACATCTGCAGTCCCGATGATATTGTTTGTTTATTAAATAAATTCCCATACTTATTTAAGCTACAGCGATGTCAATGAAAATGGTGGATTTATTTTAATCTCTGGTTTAATAAATGTGCTATGAATTTTTGTGTTTTGTACAAATATGCGATAGTGATTCAGCTTATTGATCCACAGTTAGTAAGCTAACTTAACACAACAGCTGGGATTTCTGAAAGAAAATGTATGTCTTATTAGCAGGTAGACTAAATTTGCTGTTTATCTTTAGGACTGTCAACTCAATATTTGATCAATAACACTCCAGATGTCACTGCACTTCAATTACATAAAAATTATTTTTATGCCTCCATTTTAATTGATAAATTGATTCTTTACTTGTCAGTTACTCATCAATTAATGGTATATATTGAAATGAAAAAAACTATTCTTTATAAAGGCTTCTTGTAATTTAGTGTGAAAAATTCTCTTCATAATCCTAAAAATGTAATGTTGGAAACACATTCTGCAAAGATAAGTAATGTTGCATGTATTTGTAATATACATGTATTTTGAAAAAAAATGTATGTCGTGAAAATACTCTTGCTGGTGCACTGTTACTCTTTAGCTTATTAATGAAATATATTTTCAATTTTTATATTTTTAGTTTTTAAGGAGCTTTAAACCTTGTTGATTTTTTTTTTTAAGTCAAATGAAATATTGAATTGGGTTGATCTGATGTGTTAGTTTAATTAGTAATGTCGCAAGCTATAAACAAATAGATCTTTACTAATTTTAGTTTAATTTGTGACGGGGGATCTCGTGGCTAAGTGGGTAAGACGCTGGCTCGCTAGCCTGGAGGTCGGGTGTTCGATCCCTGCATTGGCCGAGAAAGTTCATCCAGATTTTCTGGCGTGGTTCCCCTTTGTCAGTGATGCAGGACGGAGGGCCTGACAAGGACAGCTGTCTAGTCCTTCAGATGAGACGAAAAACCGAGATCCCGTGTATATATTGGAATGCATGTAAAAGATCCCCTAGCAGTTGGAATTTGATATAAGAGTAGGCGATAGTGCCGCTGCCCGGGCAAAATTTCCCTCATAGCACACTGTATGGCGTATGCCCGTCTTCATTAGTCCAGTATAGGAGCAGAACAGTAGGACGTTAAACCCCATTTCATTTCATTTCATTTAATTTGTGACGTTCTGTATCAACAGTGGAACTCAGAACTGGTTATATCTTGGCACTGGCTTTAACTATAAATTAAAAATTTTCAACAGATACAGATTGTCATCCAACAAAATCGAATCAATAAATAAATTCAATGAAATGAACAGTATTATTTTTAACCCAAATCAAAGAAGTCAAACTATTTTAAGCTATTGATGTGTGTTATAATTTCTCATGTCACTATATCATCGAACCATCCCAGTTCCTAATTGCATGCCATTGCTAATGAAAACATAGCTTCTTTTAACTAACTTGAAATGTTGAGCCTGGTCCGTCATATGTAATTTCGGTGAGACTGTCTCTTATCTCCAGTCTTTGTTTACAAAATGAAATGAAATGGGGTTTAATGTCCTACCGTTCTGCTCCTATACTGGGCTAATGAAGACGGGCATACGCCATACAGTATACTATGAGGGAAATTTTGCCCGGGCAGCGGCACTATCGCCTACTCTTATATCGAATTCCAACTGCCAAGGGATTTGTTACGTGCATTCCAATGTATACACAGGACCTCAGTTTTCCGTCTCATCCGAAGGACTAGACAGCTGTCCTTGTCAGGCCCTCCGTTCTGCACCACTGACAAGGGGGAACCACGCCGGAAAATCTGGATGAACTTTCTCGGCCAATGCAGGGGACGAACACTCGACCTGCAGGCTAGCGAGCCAGCATAGCCACCGTGGCTTCCTTTGTTTACAAATAAACTAAGAATAGTATGAATTTATTTATATGTAGCCTATATTGACTAGATACTGTTTTCTATTTCCAGATGATCAATCAAAACCTCCAAGTGAAGATATTCAAAAATTGTTTACCACATATACAGCACCAACTGGTTTTACTGGAGGTGATTTATATTTTCCATTTAAATAATCACTTGCTGGTTGCCACTAGTGCAAAGCAGGCATTGGAATTTAAGATGAATTGAATCTGTAATGAATAGTTTTGTATACATGTATACCCCTAAATTGATCTGTTGAAAAAATTTCCCTTTTTATTCAGTATTTTAAGTTTAAATTGGTGCAGCAGGTTAGCAACTAGACTCTGCAAATGCCCAACAAAGTGTCAAACTATTAAGGGCCAATATGTGTGACCTGACTCATGATAATGATATATAGATTATTTCTAGTTTATATTAAAAACTGGCTATGTTACGCAGCGTTACACAGGTAGAGTTTATCTCCATTTTTATAACATCCAGGATAACAAAATAATGATTAATTGTCAATTTAATCTTTAAATACTGCACCATATACAAACTAAATAGTTTCCTGTCAATATGGTTGTCATGAAGTTCTTTTAAACTCGCTTTTATTCCATCTCAAGTGCCTAAACATTTCCTCCATTGGATACAGTGTGTTGTCATAGTGGACAAAATTGTCAATATTAATTGTCCATACTGCACCAAATGAAAAATAAATAGCGCCATTAAATCGTTTTTAAATAACAGGTCATTGATGTTATGAAGTTATTTTAACAGTTTAAGTTAAACCATTTAGTTTCCTATAGCAAATTCACAGACACACAGACAAACAAAGAAATATATCTTCCTTTATTTATATAAACAGATTCTAAATTAATTTTTTTGTTTTTTTGTTTTTTTTTCTTTTTTACAGATTTGAAGGTAGTCCAGTCAACAGATACAGTATTAGCTAATAGTTTTGGTATCACTGAATTTCCTAGTGTTTTATTTAACCGAGATAATTCTCCTGTACCTTATGATGGTTCGTATGGTGATTTTATGTGTTAAATAGAGTTAATTCCCCTCCATCATTCACAGCATTTAATGATCATAATGGCAAGAAATGATAATACTTTGCCTCTCTACCAATAGGGCTACAGTAGTCTTCAGTAAAACATAGAATTAAGAAAAACAAAAGCCCTTTTTATTATTATCCCTTATGTTTCATTCATTTGGTCTGTTTGTGAGCCCTTGAATTTAAACAGTTCAAATTCAATGAAGATGTGTTGTCATCCCAAAAAACAAATCAACACATAAAATCCAATGAAATCGATTATTATATGAGTCAAGCCATTTTCTTTTAATACAGCATGCAGTATGCTCTGAGGGAAATTGCTAATGGCCTGCGCTTTTCGATTTCAAACTTTCAAGGGATCTTCAACATCATGCCCATGATATACACAGGCCCTTGATTTTTAGTCCCATCTGAAAGACTAGACAGATTTCCTGGCAAGAGCCTTTGTCATATACCACTGACAATGGAAAATCTCTTTGAACTTGGTCAACACTGGGATCAAACCAATAACTTTAACATTGAAGAGAAATCACAGGCAAGTTACAATTACAATTACATAAATGTTTATAGGTGATATAAATGATGAAGAACTGTCTGATTGGTTAATACAAGCACAGGAAGTAGCTACTAAAGTATTAGTTGATTTAACATTTGAACATCAGACACAAGCTATAACTGGTGGTACAACAGGTGATTGGTTGGTTGTATTGTAAGTATCTTCTTATAATTTATACTGAAACTGTTCAATAGCAAACCATTTAAAATTCTTAGTAGAAATCAAACTTCTTAGCAACACAGGCCAGACTGTGCCCATACACCAGATTAGTGACATTACTTTATCCTACTTGAACCCAGGACCAACAAGATGATTTTATGAATGGTTCCTAAAAGCACTATTGGACACCCAAAAGGTTGTGCCTTTAATAAAGGAAATGGAAGCAGTTAAACGTTTTTAACCTATGCTAGATGTTAAGCACCACAAATGAACAATTCATCCATATTTAATTAATGTTAGCATTGACAAGATGACAATCATTATGATTCATGAACTTCAATGTATATGCAAAAATGATTTTGAAAGATTTATAAATTTTACACAAATACCTAATTTCAAAAACTACGATGAATTCAGGATATGTTCATATTTGATTTATTTTTATATGCCCATATTGTGGTCTCCTCTATCTGTATGTTTATCTGCCATTTACATTTCTATTTAGCACAATAGAGGCTACAATAATCGGTATATCTTTTTGATATTGAGATTGGCTGTCTTGTTTTGATTATCAGTATTTTTTAAAATGTCCCTTTGTTTAAAAATCTTCCTTGGTAACTTCCAGGGCTATTCCCCTATGTTGCCAAATATCATTTTTAATTAGCACCTTAGGAGTTTCAAGTATTAAAGATTTTATGAGCTGTTGAGCTCATAACTGCTCGGATGACTTGGTTGATATGTTTTGTTGCCTGTCAAACTATGTTTTTTATTTCAGTTATAAAGATTCATGTAGTTCATCTTTAACAACATTTGAAACAGTAGCTGTCAGGTTAATAAGCATTTGAATTAATACTTTTATATATAAATTGGGGGGATGGGTGGCTGTGTGGTTTAACAAGTGTGCTGTAGATCATAGGTCTGTCATTGAGTCAAGTGGCATGGTTCAGATTCACAGCTTGTATGCGACAAAAATTAGGGTCACCTGTCCAACCTCATGGATTTTCTACGGTTTCCTCCCACTGCAAATTTTTGAAATAAAATTGAACCATGTGTTAGTCCCGAAATAACCTAGTTTGTATCGAGTGGACTTTAAACCCCATTTCTCTATCTGTCTCCCTCATCCATGTATTTGGGATATGACTCTTTGTATGTCTTGTTTTTGTGACAGGTATAGCCCTACCGGTATTCTAACCTACAACTTTCCATTTGGAAGGTGTTCACGCCATACAGTCTGTCGAATGCCAATAGGGTATACACACATATACACAACCTGTTACATTTTCACATCTGTTGCGGCACTAGGGAAATGTTCATCAAATTAAAAACATACATATACCTTACAACACACACTTATTGTGACAGATGTTAATATATCTTGTAGATGGTATCAATTAGTTAAAGATACATTATGGGAGATAAGATAAAGAGCTGACAGTTTTCGCTATAATAGTTAAAAAATAAATAATTTAAAGGGAATTTGCTGAAAATTTCAGTCAAATTGAATTATGGGTGCAGCCTCGATCATCATTACTAAAGTCGGTACATACATGTAGTCTTGATTATCCATTTTTTGATTTAATCAGAAGCAGCAGACCAGGTTCTAATTCAGTAAATATCGCAGGCTAGCAATGTCATCTAAAGTTGATTGTGGTCTGGATAAGTTAATTAATGTCTAATTAATAATTTAGATAACATTTCCGGCCTAAAGAAAGACCTGCAATGGGAAGATTTAGCTCTTGCATAATGTATATTAAAAGACAATTAAATTAACATTTTTAGTGATAATCATTTTCCTAAAACCCCTTGAGTGCACAATTATTTTAAATGGTGTTGTTTGGCTGGTTTTGAAATTAAATGGTGTTGTTGGGCTGGTTTTAAAATGTTGATCTGATAAAAACACAGATCATACATGTATTTCGTTTCACTTTGTATAGGTCAACATTTCCTTTTCTTTTTCTTTACTACACTAAGGTCTGGAAGAGTTGTTATATAATCCGTGTTTTGGTTGATGTGAGGGATTAGCCAATGAACTGGTCTCTTGCACAAGTTGTTGGCGTGCGGTACACAGAACTGTGGGTATCCCTCTAGAAACATCAATGCTGACCTGTAATCAAATGTTTGACATCTTAGGGTCAAAGGTCGCTCCAATGATCCCTGACGCGACCTTCCACTACAACCAGTCAGATCTTCATGTAGTCGAGGCCAACAAAAGTATAAAAAAACGAAACAAAATATTGATCTGTATTTTAATCGGATTGGCAAAATATGGGCTGTGTATGAAATAGAGGGGGGGGGACAAAATGTAATTGTTACTGTGTGCATCTTGGCTAAACAGCATATTCAGCCAGTTAATTATTAAACAGAACCAGATTATATAATGTCAGTGGGTTTTTCATTACATCGCTGGTTGAGCCTGCCTGGAATCCTACCTTTTCGGCTAACTCATTGTCGTGTTTTTGTGGTTAGATTGTAAAGAAGACTGTTAGCAGGGTGGAATTGATATTGGAGAAAATTAAAGAGAAACGGACATGGTATAGAATTTTTATGTCTCACATTGACTGAGTGAGAATAGGTTTCAGGCGAGTTATTGCCCACTTAATGAATATGAGAGTAATAGTCTTTATGCATAATATTTAGCCGTAGTGTAATATTATATTTGAAAGAGATTTCCATTTGACTAAGTATATGTCTCCCTAAATACTCCACTGGTTTTAACTGATTCGTTATGTTTTCAGAATATGTACAATTTGTGTATTTTTGTGTAAATTATTTATTTATTTTTACAGGTTGAAGGGTAAAACCAATGTAGCTAAAGTTAATATAGATGAAAATCCTAAACTTGTTAGTAGATTTGCTATTACTAAATGTCCTACAACTATATTGTAAGTATATCACTTCAGTTATGTGCGTTCAGGGCTTAAATGGTCTCAAATTTGCAGTGCAGATAATTAATTTTTCATCTATATAATGTAGGCTGTGAGTATGATCCTAGATTTTTCCGTACAAGAAGTAAGGTCGTTTGACTAACATAGCTGGTACTGATAAAGAACCATGCGCAAGAGAATTATAAAGAAAAAAATTAAACAGGATTGAACGGATATAAACCTCTTTTCTCTCTCTTAATTTGTTTTTTGTTTATTGTCCCCCACCTTTCGAAGAAAGCAGGGGACTATTAAAATGGGTTCGTCCGTTTGTCTGTCCAACTGTCCATCTCACTTTTTGGGACACAATAACTCTCCTTCTAATTGAGCTAGAATGTTCACACCTGTGTAGGTGTTTGTTAGGTCAATGCCTTGATGAAGTTCGAAGATGAGCATTTTCTGCTTAGGGTAAGCAGAGATAAGTAATTTGATTGGTTGATGCTTTGGGACACGATAACTTTAGTTCTAATTAAGTGAAAGTGATGAAAAAACTTGGTGTATAGTTTCATTACATCAATAGCTTGACTAAGTTCGATAATGAGCATTTTCTGCTCAGGGTAAGCAGAGTGATAAGCAATTTGATTTGTCAAGACTGGAACACAATAACTCTCCTTCTAACTGAGCTAGAACTTCCAACTTGGTGTAGGTGTTTATGAGGTGAATGCCATGATGGAGTTCGAAGATGAGAATTTTCTGCTTAGGGTAAGCAGAGATAAGCAATTTGATTGGTTGATGCTTTGGGACACGATAATTTTAGTTCAAATTAAGCATGTGTGAAGGTTACTTGCGTGTATAGTGTTATTACATCAATACCTTGACTAAGTTTGATAATGAGCATTTTCTGCTCAGGGTAGGCAGAGCGATAATTGAGGTAGAATGTTCAAACTTGGTGTAGGCGTTCATAAGGTGAATGCCTTGATGGAGTTCGATGATAAACATTGTCTGCTTACGGTAAGCAGAGATAAGCAGTCTGATTGGTTGATGCTTTGGGGCACGATAACTTTGGTTTTAATTAACTGAGAGTGATGAAACTCTGAGTATAGATTCATTATATGATTACCTTGACTAAGTTCGATGATGAGAATTTTCTGCTTAGGCTGAGGAGCGATAAGCAATTTGATTGGTCAAGACTTTGGAACATAACAACTCTGCTTTAATTGAGGTACAATGTTTAAACTTGATGTAGATGTTCATTAGGTGAATGTCTTGACATTTCGAGCTAAAGCTAATAAGCAGAGCTAAGCGATTTCATTGGTCGATGCTTTGGGATAAGATAACTTTCATTCTATCTGATAGAGAGTGATGAAACTTAGTGTATAGTTGATAATAAATTTGATTGCTTGATATTTTTGAAAAAGATAAATGTACTATTAATTAATATGTGTCATCTATTTATTTTGGGATTTCGGCGGGGGACTCACTGTTGGCTTGTTTGTACAATAATTGAGAAGATTTCTAATTGTGAAGGATTTGGTTGGGAGGTGGGTGATGTGGTTTAATGCATCATGGGCTTTAGTTCAAAAGCTATGTCAAAGATTCAATTGTCGTGGTTTCCGCACTTTAACCGTCACAAAGAATTTTGTGTACAGTTGTTAAGTGGAGTTATCTCCTTCATAAAGGATAACAAAACCCCAAGACTAGAATATAACTGTCCTGGTCCAGATTGTATCTTATTTTATATTTTGAAATCAAGATCATGTCTGTATTAAACCGGTCTATAAATAGCTATGTGAACTCCTCGAATGAAACCACAGTTCTTTCTGAATGTGAATGCTTCATTGTTAAGTATAAAAGAATTATATTAGCTATTATGTTAGATTTAATAAATTGACAAAATTTAAAAAGATTGCATACCAAGTGCAAACATGTTTATTTTTGCTTGTCTGAGCTGGTTTCCAGTGTTGATTGTACCCTCTATGTTTTCCCAAATTTAATAATTTATTTTCTTTTTCAGTTTCCGTCAAGGAACAATGTATCGTCATGAAGTAGATAAATATACTGTGAAGATTCTACTGTCTTTTGTTCAAGCCTGGTACAGAAATATGAAAGCTGAAAAAATCCCCTTTGAACCTACAGCCTTGTAAGTCAGAGTCACAGATGTTTGTATATTAGGTTCTTACCAACAAAAATTTTCTTAAGAAACTTTATGTTACTATATATTGTTAATGTTCATTTTAAAAAAAGTAATTATGCATTTATAAAACAAAGTATACTAAAGATGGACTGAGAAGTAAATCACCCCCAAAATAGATATTCAAGGTTATACAATTATATTTATTATTGAAATAAAATTATCAGGAATATCAGGTGAGAGATAGATTCTCAGAATCGTATTTTATGATATTTAAATATTTAATGAAATATCATGAGATAGTAAACAACCGGTACTGTGACTCTGATGTATTACCGGTATCAGTAGAGCATGCTTTAGTTCCAATGAAGGTTAAAGCTTTATTTATTTATTTATTTATTTATTTATTTATTTATTTATATTTATTTAATAAATTTATTTATTTAATAAATTTATTTATTTATTTAATAAATTTATTTATTTATTAAAGTTTACTTTATGAAATATTTTCTGGAGGTACCAGGTGATCCCATATTTCTATTTTTAAACTCTGATTTTAGTCAAAATTAGTGAAATTCTATGAAACTATAATGTAACAATGAACCCACAAAATAACACATAAACCATGAAAATATATTATCTTAGCTAGTATTATTAAATCTATGGCATTGCAATTAAATTAGTTATCAATCGTATATGAATATTTTCTTAAGTTATTCTAATTAAAAATCATGAAAATCAGTTATTATATTGATGTTGATTATCAGAATATGAAATTTCTTCATGTCATTTTCATATTTTTATGTTTGAATTGTGAAATATAATAATATTACTTATTTTTTCAGCGACAAAGCTACAGAGAACATTGCATTATTTATAAAAGTAAGTACGATGTACATGTATTGAAAGTGTTTATGTATTTGATGGGATTGTGGTCTTGACTGTAGTCCATTCATGAAGCACAGAACAAACCATACATGAACACATAACATTACACAGACCGTGCAAATTTACACTTGTCAACACCAAGGCAAGCAAGTAGACAAAGCTATCAAGGTACTTGGGGATTGTTTGGTAATTACAGACTTACTACCAACCACATGCAGGTTTTTTGTATTTCTGCTAGACAGTACCATTGAGCTTGGATAAGGTTTTATTTGATTCTCAAAAATATATCTTGTATGGCTAGTAGCAACCCAGATTGGACATGTATTTCTCATATTTTATATATTTATAAAAATTGAAATTTCAGAAACAGTTAAATGGACCTAACCGTAAAATTATACTAGGTGTTGGAGGAGGTATTGGTGGACTCCTAGCTTTAATCATATTAGTCTGCTGCTGTCGTCGTGCAAAATCACCTACGAAAGAAAAAACACAATAAATTATTTAATAATATCTTAGTTATTTTATTAATATTTTTATGCAATCTAATTCTCAAACTGCATTTCATAGAATCTGTCCATTTATTAAGTACTTAATTTTTCCGATTTTAAGTTTCTGATGGTTATTTTTAATCCCTTGCAAACAACAGTATATTGAAAGCTAAATATCCAAAAAGAATGTCAATAAATAAATGGTTCAATTTCATTCAGTATTCATAAAGATGAATTGAAAATTTGTCAACATTTGGTATTCTCTGCAGTTGTTAAACGGGATATGGACAATTTGCTAAAATCTGTTTTTAATGTTCAGGATTGAATCCATCCTTGGAGATTATCTACCTTTGACATTTTGATAATTTTTTCTTAATTAAATGTTAAATAATCCTTTTTATATGCCCACATAGACACAGTATAGATAATCAGTTTGATTACTCAGTACTTTTGAAAAAGATAAATGTGCAATTAATCAATATGTTTGTTCAGTTAAGACCATGGTATTCAATGTTCCCAAAATAAGACACATGCATTAAATTATTACAATTAAAAGGTGGGTTGTCATCTTGGCAACAACAGTAGTTAGTCTTTTTAAAATGCAAAGACTTAAATGCAATATGGTTTACATCAATATCAACAAATTTGAACATAAAGAATAAAACACTAGAATATAAGAAAATTAAATGAAGAGTTGCACCCCCTCCCCCCTCCACCGATCCCTCAGCTTTAATCTTTTGTGAATCTATTGACTAGTCATACTCAAAATCATTTTATCTAGTGCATAATGTAGGCCTATGTATTATTATGTAACTTATAAATAAAATTCCTGTCTTCATTAGCCTAGTAGGAGCAGAACAGTAGGATGTTAAACTCCATAAATAAAATCATCAGTGTTCCATTACCACTGTTATCCATGTCCTGTCTTGCGTGTAATATTTATTCATCACATTTTTAATGTGCTTAGAATTAAGTTTCTACTGCAGTGCTTTAGAAGTGGAATAGTTTTGGTATACAAATTGTCTATATATGCTTGCATTTACTGGTGATGGTGTAAATGGTTTTTTTTAAAAAATTATTTTGTGTTTTATTGTGATAATTACAATCAGATTAAAATACAGATCTATATTTTGTTTTGTGTTTTTATACTTTTAATGGCCTCTAATGAAGTAAAGACAATTAATTTTTTTGAACTATAAAAAATGAAGTGAAATAGGATCTGTGTTTTAATCTGATTGTGATAAGTACATGTTAATGTATTCAAGGCATAATTCAAATTTATTGATGCAATGTGTATGTTTGTTCCAGTGTCATCAATTGAAAACATTCCTTGTTTAATTCAATAAAATTCTGTTTTTATGGTTTTCTTCAAGTTTAAACCTTGCCTTGTATTGGCAGTATATTATATTACAGTTATAAGGTACCGGTACATGGTATATCTATTTGTCAGAATTAGTAGGTTGAGTTGAAGTCTTATGGATGTAAAATGAATTTGTCTCCCTTTTTACAACATCCGAATAAGAACCGACACAATCACCCCCAAAATCTGCATGAACAAGATTAAACAAAAACTGTTGTTGCAGTTTAGTGAAAAGTTTAATTTTGGGTACAGAAGATACCATCAATACTGCCTTCACCAACTCGTCCACTGCAGCGAGCTATAACAGGGGAAATAATTTTACAATATCCCAAATCAGTTAAAGCTTAAACGGACGGGACCCAATTTAATTAAATGGCCAATCTCGACGATTAAGTCAACTGGCGTGGTTTCGATTCCCCGGTTTTACGTGACAACGATGTAGGGTCGCCTGTCCAACGTCGTGGATTTTCACCGGGTCCCCCGGTTTCCTCTCACTGCTAAAACCCCCTACGCGCAAGCGAATTATTGAAATAAAATTGAACCATGTGTTAGTCCAGAAATGACCTAGTTTGTGTCGAGTAAACGTGAAACTCTTTCTCGAACCAGCCATTACTGGTTACTTCTGCATTGTCTTGTAAGAAATGTTTACCTTTGTTTATTACAAATGGCACTCGAAACCATAGAATACACAACTCGTTTACGGATCATAAAATGATCATTTGCCTAAAGCCCAGCTCACAACCCACCGTACGGACAATCTACGGGGGAAATTTTTAGAAAACCTACGCGCGAGACTTTCGCGTCACTTGCGTGTGTTGAGCACCGTAATCGGCAAACCTCGGCAGATTCCGTATACTATAGTGTACTGAAATCTGCTCAGGTCCTGCACATTTTAGAACATAGATATATATTTATTGCATCAAAACGTCCATGAAGGACAGCATGCATACATATACACTTAGACATAGCCATATACATGTACATTCAATAATACATATTACATAGACAACTCAATACATTCATACAAACAGTATACTACATGTACAACTGTACATGTATATCAAATAGTAAGTGCAGGAGGACCGCACTACATGCAAAACAAAAATCTACAAGATAAACCTGCGGACAAGACAGAAAATAGACATTGCACCAAATAAACAAATATCACAAATCAAGTGAATGGAAGGGGTTTCAGTTACATGTAGTTGCCACCATATTTGATTTAGCTCTCTTATCAAAAGCCAAAAACACATATAAAGCCACTGCCTTGGCAATCAATTTTGGTGGTTTAAAGAGATTAATAAAATTGTAGGAAATCTTAGGATTTGCCGAGAAGGCTGGGTATAAATGGGCTTGGTGTATTTCTTCATACTTGCTACAGTATAGCAAAAAATGTTGCTCGTTTTCGATCGAATTTAAATAGCAAAATTTGCATAGACGCTGATCAACAGGATTTTTTTTGTATCGGCTCCTCTCTATTTCTAAGTGATGCGTACTGAGTCTAAGTGTGGTCATAGCTTTCTTATGATCTCTATTTTTAACCGAATATAAATAGTCTGGAGAGTTGGTAACAGTAGGTTTTGAGATGAAATATGTACGTAATTTGCTGTTATTGGAGTTAGAAGATATGTGGTAGAAGGAGTTAAATTTTGATTCAAGGGATTTCTTTATATTTTCTTTATTTAGCAAATGAACATGATTTATTTGGAGTTTCGAAGTTAAATTATTGATTGCGGCTGACCAAGATAATTTTTCATTTTTAGAGGATATAGTTTTATCTTCAGTATAGGCTGCTGAAAGAAGAGGAAATATTTGTTTCATCCTAACATCGTTTAGCCTTTTATGATACATAAGCATGCGGGTATAGGTGTCTAACGTTAGTGGGAAGATTCCTAGTTCCGCAATACATCCAAGGTTAGGACCTGCAGATTAGACTACATCAAAGTCTCGAGATGTAAACAGGGCTAGCGCTAACCCTAACCCCGGACCAAGTCTTACCCTTACCATAACGCGCAATCCACATATTATGTCATATGAGCAGGACCGTCTCCGATCTAAGTTGAACGCCGGGGAGACATTCCTCACGGGGTCAATCACTTTGCATTGCACATCACGTCAGAATTTTTTGACCAAACCCAACCCTAACCCTAGCACGCGGTGCGTGTCAGTGTCGCTAAAAATAAACCATCATACAGTTTATCAACGCGAGATTTCGTCAAATCACCATGGCCGGTGTTGTGAGGAATGTCTCCCTTATGCAGAATTTCTCCGATCTAGAGAACATGCGCAATAAATGCTACTGGTGTAGACTGCAATAACCAGACGCTAGAAAAACATTCTAGGGGTCATACGCCATACAGTGTGCTATGAGGGAAATTTTGCCCGGGCAGCGGCGCTACGGCCTACTCTTATATCGAATTCCAACTGCCAAGGGATCTTTTACGTGCACGCCACCTCTGTTTTTCGTCCCATCCGAACGAATAGACAGCTGTCCTTGTCAGGACCTCCATCCTGCATCACTGACAAGGGGAAACCACGCCGGAAAATCTGAATGAACTGTCTCGGCCAATGCAGGGATCGAACACTCGACCTCCAGGCTAGCGAGCCAGCGTCTTACCTACTTAGCCACGTGATCCCCAATAGGCGAACACACACATACACTCTTTCATTTCATTAAAGATACATTATGGGAGATTAGGTAAATAGCTGGTAGTTCTCACTATAATAATTAAAAATTAGATAGTGTAAAGGGAATTTTCTGAAAATTTCAGTCAGATTGATCCACCCTGAACTGAGTATTTAGCGATTGAATTTTGGGCGTAGCCTCGGTCATCATTATTAAAGTCGGTACGATAAAAAACACAGTTTCGATTATCCAGTTTTTGATTTAATCAGAACAGCAGACCGGGTTCTAATCCGTAAATATCGCAGGCTAGCGATGCCATCGAGAATTGATTATGGTCTGGATAAGTAAATTAATGTCTAATTAATAATTTAGATAACATTTCCGGCCTAAAGAAAGACCTGCAATTTGCAGATTTAGCTCTTGCATAATGTATGTTTAATATAGGTACATGTAGATAGGTTAGGGTCTCATATTTTCACGGCAAGATAACAACATCGAAATTGACTAATATTGAATTCTGACACGTGTTTTTAATTTCAAATATGGAAAATATTGAGTTAAATGTTGAGCTCAGGACTTTTAAGTTCAGATTCAGAAACTGCTCGGTAAACCTAGAACCAATACCATTAAGAACTTATATATACCAGTATATATAAAAAAAAAACAATTGTGGATGTTATTTTTCCCTCAACATTCATCCCATGTGTTCTCGTATACAAGGGGGGGGGGTGTAATGTTTGGTATTCGCGAACTGCAGTCGATTTGTCTTGATATTCGGATAAAAGTTTCACACGCGTTAAAAGCCAGAAAGTAATACTATATGCCCAACAAACATGTAAGCAAAGTTCCAAATAAAATATTTATAGTTAGGGGTCAACTCAGTTTGAAAGATACAATTTAGATTATAGATTTAAAAGATAAATGTGATACATGTGTATCTATTGTGAAATCAATAACATGGTTCAAACTAGCATTGCGTATTGAATTTAAATGAGATATACTTGAGAAAGTGAATGTTATTATCGTATGTGATGTAAATAAGTAACGATGCATGATTGGCATTGTCGGGTAAATATCACATTTCTGGCGGCTTAAACTACGCTAATATGTACTTATTTGATTGACTTGTTTTACATCTGATTAAATCCAAGTCGGGAGATTCTTCCTCTTTGCGTACAATGAAGAGAGGGAGAGAGAGAGAGAGACGGGATTTAACCGAGGTCCCGTGTATACATTGGTGTGCACGTAAAAGATCCCTTGGCAATTAGAATTCGATATAAGAGTAGGCCATAGCGCCGCTGTCCGGGCAAAATGTCCCTCATAACACACTGAATGGTGTAAGCCCGTCTTCATTAGCCCAGTCGGAGCAGAACAGTAGGACGTTAAACTCCATTTCATTTCATTTCGTTCTGCTCGTAAAAGATCCCTTGGCAGTTGGAATTCGATATAAGAGTAGGCCGTAGTGCCGCTGTCCGGGCAAAATTTCCCTCATAGCACACTGTATGGCGTATGCCCGTCTTCATTAGCCCAGGTTAGGAGCAGAACAGTAGGACGTTAAACTCCATTTCATTTCATTTCGTTCTGCTCCGACTGGGCTAATGAAGACGGACATGCCTATACAGTGTACTATGGTAAAACTTTACCCGGATAGCGGCGCTACGGCCTACTTTTATATTGAATTCCATCTGTCAGGGGGGTCTTTTACGTGCACGCCAGTATGTAAATGGGGCCTCGGCTTTTCGTCCCGAACGATTATACGTTATCCCTTGCCAAGCCCCGCGTCCTGCAACATTGTCAGAAAGGAATCACTCAGGAAATAGAATTTAATGTCCTACTTTTCTGGCAGTCACGGTGACTCAGTGAGTAAGACGTTGGCTCGCTAACGTTGAGGTCTCGTGTTCGATCACTGCGTTGGCCGAGAAAGCTCATCGGGAATTTTCCGGCGTGATTCCTCATTACAGTGGTACAGGACGGAGGGCCTGGCAGGGGATAACGTATAGTCTTTAGGATGGGACGAAAATTCAAGGTTGCGTGTACATATTAGCGAGCACGTAAAAGACCCCCAGACAGTTGAAATTGAACATAAGAGCAGGCCGTAGCGCCGCTATCCGGACAAAGTTTCCCTAACAGTACACTGTATAGCGTAAGCCCGTCTTCATTAGCATAGTCGGGGCAGAATGAATTGAAATGAAATGGAGTTTAACGTCATTTCATTCAATTCTTTTATGTGCACGCCAATGTGTACACAGGTGCTTGTTTTTTTGTGCCATCTACACAACTAGACACTGTACCATGTGTCCTGCACTACCGGCAGGGAGAAACCACGCTGCAAAATCACGGGGAACTTTATTTTGACCAACACCAGGATCAATGTATAT